GTTCTCTGCCACGGCTCCATGGCAACGGCCGCGGTGGCCACAAAGCGAAGGAATTTGCATTGTGTCGCTTCAGCGTTTTGGAGGGCGCAGCGGGATCACCGGCTGGGGGCAGGGAGCGGGGACCCAGCTCCCTCGGGTCCCCAAGCTCCCCGCTCCTCCTGCCCTTAGGGGGATTTCCAGATTTGCAGGTCTGAAGCCGATTGCACATCACTTGTGAACAGACCAGCAGCAGCCCCAGGTCCCCTCTCCATCCCCCAAATGCTCAGCCCCATTGCTTTCTCCCCCCTTTCCTGGGGCGCAGAGGGCGGCCGGGGCTGGGCACCGCTCCCCGCTGGGGCTCAGGTCCGTGACAGTTTTGCTTGGCCCAATGTGTGCTTTTGGAGAATATTTACAAGCTCTCCCTCCCTGGACCCGCTGGCCACGTCTGCGTAACCTCCCTGCTCCTTCCGTTCCTGGGCTTTTTGTTTTTCCTCCCCTCCTTGTTGCTCTTTCCTCCCCCAGGGTTTTGGCTCTTTCCACGCGGTGCCGCCGAGGCCGTGCTGCGGTGCCCAGGGCCGGCTGCAGGGGCAGCTCAGGCCCAGACAGGCACTTGGAAGCCCAGCCCGGGCTGCGAGGCGGCTGTGGCTGCCCGCTGCCGTTTGATCTTGAAGGGCAGGAGCCGTGGGACGGGGCTGGCACAGCCAGAGGGCGAGCGGGGAGGGCGGCCACGGGTGGCTGCCCGCCACCTGGTCCCTGCTGCCGGTGTCACGGCGCTCCTTGTGCTCAGCCCAACCTCCCAGACCTGCCTCAGCAGGGCTGGGATCCCAAAATCCGTCTCCTTTTCCCCGTCCCCATGGACGAGCAGGGCCTGTCTGTCTCTGGGGCGCATCCTCGGCCTCTCCTTCCCCTCCCCATGCGCCGCGGAGCTGCCTGGGGAAGGTCCCCGGCAGTCCTTGAGCACCATGGAGACCACAGCCTCTTATCTCCTCCTTATCAGGACAGCCCCGCCAGGCCCTGCTGAGTCAGGGTGCAGGAACGTGGCGCTGGGCCAGGCTGCACCCAGCGGCAGCGAGGTGCTGAGCGCCGTCAGCTGGGGCTTGGAGCTGATGGGGAACCCCGGCGCTGGGCTCCCGGCCTCGGGCTGGCCCCAGCCCCGCTGCGGGGAGCAGAGCAGCCCTAGGAGCCCTCGGGCTGGCAGCCTGGCCGTGGCCATGGTGCCGTGGGGGGGTCCTGGCCCAGCCTCTGCGCCCACCAGAGCTGATGAGAGCGTGGAGAGGGCAGGAGGGGGCGTGGGGCGAGCCGTGGGGTGCTCGGGCTGTGGGTGGTGGAGCCTGCTGGCAGCCCCGGCTCTCTGCGGGAGCATTTCGGGGCGTCCTTCTGCTCTGCCGCCGCTGTTTGAGGCAGACCCACGCCGGGCTGGCTCCACAAACAGCAGGGGGGCAGATAAGGACCGGGGCCCGCCCCGACAGGCACCACAGCGGGGTTGATGCAGGCGTTGAGCCGGGGTGGGTGCGTGCCGAGCCGTGCTCCACCACCGAGAGGCAGGGCAGGGGTCCTGCCCTTTTGCTGCGTGGCCTTTTTTTTATTATTATCATTATTTTTCCCTTTCCCCCATCGTTTCAGGGTCAGCCCCAGCCCCTCTGGCCCCGTTTCACCGCGTCCTTCCCCCGGTGAAGTTCCTGCCGTGCCATGCTGCCTCCTGCCAGCCCTGCCTGGCACGCGTGCGGGCAGGAGGAGAGGGATGAGGCTGCGGGGCAGGGGGTGCGTGCATGGGGAAACCTGCAAGGTCTTGCCTCTAATCCATTTCCTGGAGCCGCTCCTGCAGTACCTGCTGCAGCAGGCATGCCTGACATTCACAGAGCACCTCTGGGACCTGCGAGCACGGCGGGCGTGATGGCACGCACCCAGGGGACGCAGCCGTGGGAGTGGGCACGGGGGGTGGAGGAAAGGGGAAGCAGGACTGATAAAGCTGCAGATTTCGGGGTGGATCGCTGCAGAGGGAGCTGGTGGCGATGGCTGGTCCCCAGCCAGGGGTTCCCATGGGTCTCCGGAGGCTGCGTGGGGCTCATTCCCCGGTCCCATTCCCCGGTCCCATCCCTTGCTGGCTGCGGCCGCGCTCTGCAGCTGGGCTGTTCCTGCCCGGATCCGGCTCGCGGCCGGCGGGGGAAGCTGCTCCTGCTCTTATTTACCTTCAAACCTGTTCGGTGGCTTCCCAGGAGGGGCCGAGCGGGGCGGGGACGGGGATAGAGGCCCTGCTCGCTGGGCTGGAACAGCCGAGCGGGGCTGGGAGCGGGCATGGGGCTGCCCATTGCCCTCGGCACCTCCGGGCCGCCCGCGGGGAGCGCAGCGGGGCTGGGGGAGCGCGTGGAGACAGCACAGGGCGAGGGCTGGAGCAGCTTGGGAGAGAGCCGAGCTCTCCTGTGTTTGTTGCGTGACCCGGAGCAGAGGCTCGGTGCTTTGTGTGTCTCAACTTGTCCCAGGTTTCTCTCTGCACAGGGATGTTTGGCCCTGCAGGCACGCGTCGGAGGCCGCTCGCTGCGCACCCAGCCCTCGCCGAGGGGCTGCAATAACGCCCGGCTGGGAGCCGTGGACGGTGCCCATCACGAGGCCGAGCGTGCCGGGTCACCGCCTGGCTGTCCCCAGCCGTGTGCTCAGGAGGGGCTGGGGTCAGGGCCGAGCTGGCTCCACGCAGCCCCACGGAGCAGCACGGTGCCCTCCTGCCCTTCATCAGCCCTCCTCCCACTGGGGGTTCGCCCCCAGTCCCCTGTGCTGCCTGCCCTGGCCGTGGCCTGATGACTTGTACGAGTCCTGGGGACCTCGTGGTAGCTTTCCGTGCTGGAATGGAGAGGATAAAAAAGACCCGAGTTTGTTTTCCTATCTGAAATTAATTTTATTTCTGCCTCTGCATGGGATCGTCTTTGAGATCAGAGCCAGCAGCGGAGCCTGGGTCGTGTTTATTTGCTTTGTGGAGATGTTTTCCTGGCTGAAACAGCCCCGAAGTGAGGACTGGGGCTGGCTGCAGCCCCTGGGAGATAGCGGGCTGCGTGACAGCCGGGGGCTCCTGAAGCCACGATAAATATTATTGCATCTCAGCCTGCCTTGAGACAGCCCAGTCCCGCGGCACGTCCCGGGGCACAGATCCTGTGCGGATCCTCGCTGCAACAACAAGGCTGCTCCGTGTTTCTGCAGCCCCCTTGGTGCAGAGAGTCCCCAAATGTGGTCCCCAAGCTGTGCTCACACCTGGGCACCTCCAGCCAATGCCTGCAGGGTGGGAAGGGGCCTGAGAGCACTGTGAGAGCATCAGCCCCATGCGATGCTGCTGGGGTGCACGAGACCCCCAGACCCCAGAAGGGAAGGCAGCCTTCCCTTCCCTTCCCTTCCCTTCCCTTCCCTTCCCTTCCCTTCCCTTCCCTTCCCTTCCCTTCCCTTCCCTTCCCTTCCCTTCCCTTCCCTTCCCTTCCCTTCCCTTCCCTTCCCTTCCCTTCCCTTCCCTTCCCTTCCCTTCCCTTCCCTTCCCTTCCCTTCCCTTCCCTTCCCTTCCCTTCCCTTCCCTTCCCTTCCCTTCCCTTCCCCAGGACCTCGCAGCCCCCTTCCCCCTGGCTCCCCCCTCTCCTCCTCCCCATTTTTCTCGGCTGACTCAGTGGCAGCGGGGCAGGGCTGCTCCTCCTGCTCCCTGCTCCTCCTGCTCCCCGCTCCTGCCGCGGGACCCGAAGGCAAGTCGGGGCAGTGCTGCGCAGGCGGGGATGGATGCGTGCCGCTGGGGCCAGCCCAACTGCTGCTCACAGCAGGATCCCTGGTTTGGGTCTGCGCAGCCCCAGGCGTGTTCCTTCAGGGTCTCAGCCCTGGTTTTTCCCTCGCATGGCTCTGCTCATGCCCCTTGTTGCCCGAGCTGCACCTCGCTCGGGGCGCTCTGCGCCCTCCAGGCCGTGCCTGGCGTCGGCAGTCCCCGGCCCACGGTGTTGGCCACCAGCTCCCGTGCAAGGAGACCGTCCTTGAGACCGTCCTGCCCTTTCCCGGGAAGGAACCCGAGTTCCTCCCGCAGCAGGATCCGGCTGCCACGTGCGCACCGGGCACGTGTGCCAGAGCCCGGAGGGGCCGGGTCGATGCAGGGCGCGTCGCGAGGAATGCGCGAGGGACGGGACGCCGGCTGCGCACGGGCGTGCTGCGACTGGCACGGGCTGCAGCTGCCCCGGGTTCCTCAGCCCACCGAGAGCTGCGGGGCCAGGCCTCCCGGCTGCCTTCCTCCCTCCCCGTTCCCCTTTGTCGGGTTTCCCTTCGGCAGCAGGGAGCTCCCGGTGTTGGTGCCACCGGGGCGAGGCTGCCCAGGTGAGGAGAAGGAGGCTGAGGAGGTGACGAAGGTTGCAGGGAGAGGAGGAGCAGCAGAGGCCGTGCTTGGTGCCCTGCTGTGGTTTGGGGTGCTCCTGGCTCAGTGACCGGGCTGCTTTGTCCCTCGGGACGGATCCTTCCCCACGGAGCTCCCCCAGCTCTGCTCGTGATGTGCTGCCCGGAGAGGAGAGGGGCAGCGCTCGGCACGGCACGTGGCTGCCTGCTTTGTGCATCCTCAGCCCTTTAATTATGTCCTAATTATGTCCCTTCTCCCCTCGCGCTGTGAAAAGAGCCGGGAAGCGTCCGCCCGCAGCCGCCGGCACCTTCTGGGTGAGCGCGTGGGCAGCGGGCCCCATCCTGCCTGTGCTGGAGGCAGGGAGGGAGCTGGGTCGTGCAGGAGCTGCGGGGCGCTGCTCGCGCTCGGCACGTAGGAGATGCAGGGGAGGAAATCCTCCAGCCCTCCCCAGCGCTGGAGCTGCCCCGCCGGGGAGGTGCCTTTTGCCCTTTTTTGCCCTTGCGGGGTGCGTGCGGTGCCAGGGGCCCGCAGCCAAATCTGAGCCTGGCTCCAAACAACGTTTGGGCAGCCCGCGAGGAGCCACGCCGGCCCCGGGACGTGCTCAGGACCCTTCTGGTGATTCAGAGGAATCCCTGGAGCATCCTGCACCATGGCTGGTGGACTTGGGGGGTGTCCTGTGGTGTTTTGGGGGCTCAGAGGGGGGCACCCACTGCCCCCTGCCCCAGCTCCTCCCTGCGACTCCGTCCCAGCTGCTGGGCAGTCCCAAGGGCAGGGAGAAAAAGCCTCCCAGCTCTTCCCAGCTGGCCACACTGGTTCCAAAGCCAGCGTACTGGTTTGTAGGGCCGCTGCGCCCTGGGGGACCATGGGGACAGCCCCAGATGAACGCAGAGCTTCAGGAGCCCCGCGGGGCTCTGCCCAAGGACCAGGCAGGATCCGACCCCGCAGGCTGCGTGCAGGGGGGGGGCGGGAGGGCCAGAGGAGGGGCCCTGCTCTCCTGCTCTCCTCCTCCGGCACCGAGGAGCGCGGAGGGAGCAGCTGGGGCTGTCCCCTCCTGCCGCCGCACAGCGCTCCCCGGCTCCATCCTCTCCCCCTGCGCAGCCGCTCCGCTGGCCGGGCATCCTCCCGCTGGCTCCTGCGGCGCGGATGAGGACGGGGAGAGGGAGCTGAGGGGCCCCCCCGGCACAACAGGCAGCGGCAGAGCCCCCCCTCCAACGGGGAGCAGCCCCTTCCCCTGGCCACCATGGTGGTTTTCATGGGCAGGAACCTCTCCTCGCTTCTGGCGTTCTTCAAGAAGGGTGAGTGGAGGTGCGGAGGAGAGGAGGGAGGGGGAAAAAAAAACCACCAGACCCTTGTCCTTACACAACCCTGCCTGCCCGCAGCGCCTCGCAGGGGGCTGCTGCCAACCTGGCACGGGCTGGGGGGGTCTCTGCGGTGGCTGTCGCTCTGGGGAGGGCAGGGAAGGTCACCTCGGGCCTGAGAAGTTAATGGCAAAAATTATTGTGTCCCTAAAATCATCGCGTCCCATCAAATCATCAGTGCCTGTGTCGCTGGAAGGTGGCTCTGACTGTGCGAGGGTGGGGGTCCGGCGAGGGGCTGCCAAAACTGGGGAGGGGAAGGGTTTAGGGGAAGGGCAGCGTGATGGGGGCTGTGGGTGCCTCGTGTCCACACAGGGACCTCGTGAGAGCCCCCAAACCAGCCGCCACGCGCCCTCCCCACCCGGCCGAGCCCCTCGGTGCCCGCTCGCCGTGCCACGGGCACTGGTTTGGGGCCTGAGCCCGGTGTCTCGTGGCACGCCGCGGCAGGGCGGGCCGGCTCCATTGTTCGGGGCCTGCTCTTTGTGTGCCGGAGCTGGAGCGTGGCCGGAGCCGGGGCTGAGCCGCGGTGGGGGCCGGGGGCTGGGTGTGGGACAGGGCAGCGGCCGGCCCCGCATCCCCTCAGCGCTGCCCTCCGGCCCTGTGCCACCCCCCCCATGGGGGCTCCCTTCCCTTCTCTCAGCCTGAAGTTGTTTTTATTTTCCAGGCTGGAAGATTCGGAAGCTGTGCTGGCGGTGGAGGGCAGACGGGAGCAGGCTGGGCTGTGCCCGTGTCCCCGTGTCACCCTGCCAGGCGCAGCCCCCCCCCGTGGGCACCCGGACCCCCGGGCAGGAGCCGTGCGTGGGCACTGCCCGCTGCGGGGAGGGGGCTGCAAACGGGGGGCGTGCAGGGCCCTGTGCCGGCCGTGCCAGGGCTCGTGGGACCCCCAGCACCCATGGGGGCCTTGATGGGGGCTCCATCAGCCTCCGGGTCCCCTGGGGGCCGCGCCTCGGTTTCCCTCCCCAGTACCCGCCCTGGGCGTGGGGCTGGGTCCCTGCTCTCGGGGCGCTTTGCGAGGCTTTGAGATGATGCAAGCCTCCAGAAGGGAAAGTTTTTCTGCCTTTATTTCCCCCCCCTCGCTGCCCCTTCTCTGCCGGGCTGCCTGCAGCCCCCGCCCGGCTCTAAGGAAGGTGCTGGAGAGGAGGAAGGTGCTGGGGGGGCAGTGCCAAGCCCCAGCTCTGTGCCGCCTGGTGGGGAGGGAGCGCTGCAGCTCCTGCAGCCGAGACAGCCTGACTCCAGCGCATCGATCGGCCGGGCAGCCCTGGGCTCACGGGGGGGGCTCAGGGGCTGCATCCATGCTTCACCACGGGTCTGGGGGCTGCTGTCCTGCAGGGATTTGTCCTCTGAGCCCTCTCTCTGCCTTCGCAGGCTCTGCCAAGGCTGAGAACGACAAGCGGCTGAGCGTGCAGTACAAGCCGGGCGAGGAATGCCCCGACAACGTCTTCTTCCCCAGCACGCGGCCCCCGCACCTGGAGGAGCTGCACAACCAGGCCCGCGAGGGGCTCAAGTCCCTGCAGCACCAAGGTAAGGGGGAGGGGGTCCGGCCCCCCCTCATGGACCCTGTCCTGCCGTGGCACCGTGCCCCCAGTGCCCCGGGCAGCTGGCTGCCCTGCCTGCATGGGCGGCGCGAGCCAGGGTGAGCAGAGTCCAGCTCTGGGGGTGCTGCTGGTGGCCGGTGCTGCCCTGGGCTCAGTGGCCGCTCTCGTGGCTGCCTGCGCCCCCCAGGCTCCCGCAGAGGCCCTGAGCCCCTTCCCCTTTCCCTTCCTTCCTCCCGCAGAGAAGCAGAAGCAGACCAAAAGTGCCTGGGACCACGGGGACACCAACAGCCTCCAGGTGAGCGGGGAGCCCTGGACAGCCCCCGCTGCGTGGCTGGGGGGGGGTGAGGAGGGCAGGATGGGCCCCCAGTGCCCCCACTGATGGTCAGGGCAGCTCTGAGGCAGTGACCTGGCTGAGAGCAGTGCTGTAGGACCGTGTCGGGGGGGTGTACAGGGCAGTAAGGGGCTGTGACCCCCTTGGTGTTACCCCTTTTCCCCCCACGATGAATTCTCTGTCCCTGTTCTCACTGCTGGCACATCACCTCCTGCCTTGTGCGGCTCTGCCCAGGGCCCCCCTCCATGCCCATGTCCCTCTGTCCCCCCCCATCTCACCCCAGCAGGTGTCCCCCCATCAGCACTGAGCCAGGGGGGGGAGCAGGGGCCGCATCCAGCCCCGTGGCTGGGCCCCCCCCCGGCTGCTGACGGGCGAGAAACTCCCACTCACTTGGCTGAGCTCGGGTTCGCTGCTTCCCTGAGCTCTGACCCTGCTCCCAGCGCCTCACCCACGTGTATTTGCTTTAAGCGCTGCCTCCCTTTGGCGCTCGGCCACCTTAACCCCTTGGAAGCGGGCGGCGAGGGGGAAAGTGAGGCTGTGAGTCTTCGGGGGGGTGGTTTTTGGGGTCCTGCCCTCTGGCCCTGCCAGGAGGTGCTTTATTGGGATGAGGGGGGCACAGAGCGCCGTGCCCATCACAAGGGGCACAGACTGTCCCCTGGCCCGCCCCAGCCCCGTTCCCCTCCCAGCCCCCAGTCACCCCCCAGCCCTGGGGTGCAGCAGGGCTGGGCGAAGCCCCCGGGGTGGTTCTGGCTCGGTGGGAGCCCAGCAGTTCCCTCCAGAGCAGGGGTCAGGGCGGTGCCGGCTCCTCCACCCAGCTGGACCTCAACTCACCGGCTCTCCGGGGGCTGTGGGGCTGTGTGGGGTCCCCGGGGCTGCTCCCGGCCCCGCTCCTGGTGGGAGGACTCTGGCTGCCGGTGTGGCTGACTCAGCCTTTGGCCCTCGGAGAAGCTTTTGTCTCAGCAGCGCTGGGCTGCGGACTCAGTTCGCGGCGGAGAAGGGGCCTGGCGGGGCTGGGGGGGGGCCGCTCCTTCCCCGCAGCCGTCCCGAGCCCGCTGTCTGCCCACACAGTCCTGCGCGTCCTCGGAGGATGACAGCGTGTCCTTCCGCAGCCGGGCGGCTTCCTGCCTCACCGACAGCACCTCCTGAGGACGCCCTCTCCATCCGCTCCGAGATGATCCAGCGGAAAGGTGCCCGGCTTGGGGGGCTGCGGGGCTGGGGGGTGCGAGCCAAGGGGGTGCGAGGGGTCAGGGGGGCTGGGGAGCCTGGCAGGAAACCCGGGGGGCTTCTGGGCTCGGAGTTTGGCCAGCTGCAAGCCAGTGCAAGCATCTGGGGGCCCTTGGGGAGGAGAAAGCAGCTCGGGCTGAGTCAGAGGCTGCTGCAGGCGTTGGGCTGGGACTGGGTGAGGGGGACAGACGGACGGACAGACGCCGCCTCCTCCCTGCTCGGCCCCTGTGGCTGTTTGGCAGCTGCCGAAGCCTCCCTGGGCTGTGCCGGGTGCCTGAGCTCGGCTTGTCCCAGAGCATCCCGAGCAGCGGTGCTGGGCACTGGGCTGGGGGTGCTGGGGGGACCTGGCCCAGGGCCCACATGCCAGCTGGACTCTGCTCACGCCTCTCGCAGGTTCCACCTTCCGTCCGCACGACTCCTTCGCCAAATCTTCGGAGAGGGCTGGCAGGAAGAGGAAGGAGAGGAGGACAACGGTGCTGGGCATCCCCCAGCATGTCCAGAAGGAGCTGGGTAAGCGTCGTGGGCGAGTTTTAAGGTCCAGCCCCATCCCTCAGCTGGGTGGATCCGCCTTGGGATCATGCCTGGTTCATTTCTCCCTGCTCCCAGGTCTCAGGAACAGCCGGGAGGCCAAGGGACACGCTGCCAACGGGCGCGGGGGCAGCCAGGCACCGCAGCCCTTGCTGAACGGCGGGCAGGTCTCCGGCGATGCCATCCGCATCCCCACCATTGACGGGAACCTGCCACCACTGGACGTCCCCGGCGGTGCCCGCGTCCGCCTGGGAGCCTTGGAGGAGGCGGACAAAGCCCTGCAGAAGCACATCGACCGCGTTTACTACGACGACACGTTGCTGGGGAGGAAGACGGCGGCCAAGCTGTCACCCATGGCGAGGCCGAAGTCACTGGCGGTGCCGGGCATGACCACCAGCGCCAGCCCCCAGGAGCTGCTGAGCCCCGTCATGTCCATCTCGCCCCAGGGCACCTACATGTCCAAGATCATCCCCAACGCCATCCTGCCGCCCATGGTGGACGTGGTGGCCCTGACGCGCAGCAGCGTGCGGACGCTGAGCCGCTGCAGCCTGGTGTCATCCAGCCCAGCCTCGGTGCGCTCCCTCACCCGCTTCTCGGAGCACAGCGCCCGCAGCCGCGAGCCCTCCTCCTCCAGCGACAACTGGAGCCACTCGCAGTCCACCGAGACCATCGTCTCCAACAGCTCCACCATCTCCTCGCAGGGCGGCTCCGACCGCCGCCAGGCCGAGGCGGGGCCGCGCAGCGAGGTGGACGCAGCGGGACGCTCCGACACCGATCAGGTCAGCGTCTACAGCTCCGCCAGCTTCGCCAGCACCTGCTCCAAGCCCGCCGTGGCCCCTGCGCACACAGCGCACGGGCTGCTGGCCGTGGGGCCCCGCAGCGTGAGCGGCAGCAGTGGCCGGGCGTCCCCCGCCTTCAGCACGAGCAGCCAGGCAGAGGGCTCAGGACACGGGCAGCCTGGCAAGCGAGCGCTCCTCGGCACGCAGCGTCTCCCTCAGGAAGATGAAGAAGCCCCCGGCGCCCCCTCGCAGGACCTATTCTCTGCACCAGAAGGTGGAAGGAGGGGGAACCCAAGGTGCTGGGGCTGCCCCCTAAGCCTGACCGGCGGCCCCAGCGGGAGAGCGGCGTGCCCTGGTCGCCCCGCTCCGAGCCCTTCAGCCCGACGGTGGAGGACGAGGTTTTCTCCCCGTCATCGCTGAGCGAGACCAGCAGCGTCCGCTCTGAGAGCCTGGCTGGCACCAGCTCCCCCGAGGCTTCGCGGGGCAGCCCCGGGCCGGGTGACCGTGGCGTGACGGTGGTGCTGAGAGAACCCACGGCTCAGCCCAAGTGGAGCTGCCTGGACGGCTCCGACCTGCACCATGTCCCCCTCCAGCGGCTACTCCAGCCAGAGCGGGACCCCCACGCTGCCCACCAAGGGGCTGAGCCCCCCGGCTGCGTCCCCGGGCAGGGTCCAGCCCCAGAAGCCGGACCGGGTGTGCTCCTTGCAGTCCCCGGCGCTGTCTGTCTCGTCCTCCCTCACCTCCATCTCTTCCTCGGCCTCGGACCCGGCTCCCTCGGAGACGCCGAACTGCGCGCAGAGCCGCTCGGACAGGTTTGTCATCCCGCCGCACCCCAAGGTGCCCGCTCCTTTCTTCCTGCCACCCACAAAGCTCCAGCCACCCGCAGGCCCCCGCCGCCCCCCTCGCCCCCTCGCCAGACCCACCGGTGCCCAGTATCACCAGCCAGGAGCCCTCCACCAAGCCCGGCACCAAGTCTCCTCCGCCAGTCACCGCCTCCTGCCTACCACCCGCCTCCACCGCCGGCTAAGAAGGTGGAGGCGAGCCCGGAGCCTGCCTGCGAGGCCCCTGCGGAGGCCACCTGGCCCCCGCCACCCCCGCCGGCCCCCGAGGTGCACGACCTGTCCATGGCGGACTTTCCCCCTCCGGATGAAGCCTATTTCTCCAGCCTGCCCCTGCCAGATGCCGTGCCGGCTCCGGCAGCTGGGCAGAAGCAGGCCCCGAACCCGGAGGCTGCATCTTCCTCGTTATCGGCCGCCATCTCCTCGCGTGTCCAGCAGCAGGACCCTCCAGCCGGGGCAGCGCGGCCGCCGTCCCCCGCCAAGCCTCCCCCCGAGGCCGTCGTGCCCCCGCCGCCTCCTCTCCCCCCACCCTCAGCTCCGGCTCCGCCGCCCCAACCCGGCCTGAAGAAGGCTGCGAACGGCTCCCGGGCGGATGCCAAGAAGGAGCCGGTGTCACGGAGCAAGAGCGGCCCGGTGCCCAAGGAGGACGCCAGCCTGCCCATCGTCACGCCCTCGCTGCTGCAGATGGTGCGGCTGCGCTCCGTCAACGTGGAGCCACCCGCCGGGGCCGGGGCAGGGGCTGGGGCCGAGGAGCGGCTGGTGCCCCAAAAGCCCGTCCGCCGGGCCCTGTCCACGCGGCAGCCCCCTCCTGCCAAAGACGCGGTGCCTTCGAACCAGCTCCACGCCGCCGTGCACCTCAAGGCGGCCGCTTTGTCTGCCGGCGAGGCTGCAGCAGCCTCCGGGCCGGTTGAGAAACCCCCGGGCAGCAAAACGGCTCAGCCCGGCCCCGAGGGGCCGCCCGCGGATGGGCAGCTCTCCCCCAGGCACAAATCTCCCACCTCCACTGCCAGCTTCATCTTCGCCAAGAGCTCCAAGAAGCTGGTGATCGAGACGCCCTCGTCGCCCGAGGTGCAGGCTGACCTGAAGAGGAACTTGGTGGCTGAGCTGATGAATTTCTCCGGGCAGCGCTCGGCGGCCCCGGCCGCTACCCAGCAGGGCCCAGGGAAATCACAAGCGCTCCGAAAGCCCGGCAAGGTGCCCCCGCCTGTCGCCAAGAAGCCTTCGCTCGGCCCAGGGCCGGCCCCATCCCCCCTGAGCCCCAAAGCACCCGAGGCTCTGGGCTCCCCCGTGCCGGACGGGAAGGCCAAGGCAGCCCCGGTGGAGGAGAGCAGGACTCAGAGCGAGCCGGCAGCTACGGCCGAGGGCAGGAGCGCTGCAGCCCCGGGCACGGAGCCACCGGCACAAGGTAGGTGGGGTGGGAGGGCTGGGGACTGCTTGGCCCCGCTCAGACCCCGCCATGGGCTGAGAACTCGGCATGTGCTGAGGGTTTGGTAGCCAAAACCTGCCGGCAGCGGTGGGGATGGGGCTGGGGCTGGGCACAAGGGCTCACAGCAGGGGCTGGGGGCACTGGGATGGTTTGGTCGAGGGCCAGGACTGTGGGAAGCTGGGGTGTGGAAGGTCTCTGATGGGCTTTTCCTTCTCGCCTTGCAGACAGACGAGGAGAGACAGCCTGAAGGACGGCGCTGCAGGACTCGTGCCCCCGCAGACAGGAATCCAAATCTCTCAGGGACCTGGGCAGGTCAACAGACAAGCGTGGAACTGGCAACTAACTTAATACAGGAAGCAAACAGCCTTAGCCTCCATGGCCTTGATGATATTTATGCAAAAATGGTGTTGGTTTCACTTTTCCTAAGTACTACAGCTTTATTTTGCAATTTTTGTTTTATACTGGACTCCGAGGCCCGCGTTTCAGAGCCAGCACCTCCTCCCTGCCGGGCTGCTGCTTGGTTTGTGCGTGCGGAGCGGAGCAGCCGCGCAGCGAGGAGCGCGAGGGGCCAGAACCCACCGGCGAGGACGCGGGAGGAGGCGCAGCCCTCCTGGATGGGGCTCGGGGCTGGAGCCGCCCCGCGAGGAATCAAAGCACTTTGGACAAAGGAACTGGAAGGCTGCGGCCACTGGCAGCCCCCAGGAGGACGCAGGCAGCAGCAGCAGGAGGGGATGGAGGCGCTGGCTGGGGGGCACCGAGCTCCAAGGGGGGGGGGGTCTCGGCCAGCACCGCTCCCATCCCAGCAGCTCGCCCCACGGCCGGGCACAGCGGGAGCCTCGCAGCTGCCCCCTGAGTTGGATGTTCAAGCCCTGGGGAAGAGCCTCAATTTCTGTTTCTGTAACCTTGGGTCACAGTTTGATTTCTTTGATTGTAAAAAAAAAAAAAAAACAAAAAACAAACCAAAACGACCAAAAAATCCTCTGCTGCTGTGTAGCCGCTCAGAGCTCTGTACCTGGCTGGTAAAGACGATGACTGAAACTCGCTGCCTCCTGTGCTTCCTGGCTAGGGACCCCTCATCCCCCTGCAGCAGGTTCCCGGCCCCACACCGCTGCCTTCCCTCAGGGCTGGCTCCCAGCCCCTGTCCCCACGGGGTGGGCAGAGCCCGGGCTGTTTGGCTCCTGGCAGCACCAGGACGCAGGAGGGGCGCTGGCTGCTGGCTCAGTGTCTCCCCCCGGACAGAGAGGCACGCCCGCATGCAGTCAGCCCGACGTTTTATTGGGGTTTATGGCAGACAGATGGTTCCCGAGTCAGTGTTTAAGGCCCACGCCCCCACAGCCTCAGGTCAGACCCGCTGGTGGGGCTGGGGCTCCTCACACACTGCAGCAGCCCCGGCCCTCGCCCCGAGCACGGCAGGGGAGGGGAGGGGGCCCGCCTGGCTGCCAGGCAGCTGCCCCCAGCCCCGGTAGCAGCAACACAGATTTGAGCAAGCAGCCTTCCCTTAAAACCCTCACTGCAGCACCTCCAGGTGCTGTCCTGGAGCCAGGACCAGTCCTTGGCACAGCTGGGAGGATGCTGATGGCCCCAGCGAGGAGCCTGATGGCACGAGGCAGAAGAAACCGGTCCCTCAGGGCTGCTGCCATCGCCAGGCCCCCAGAGCTGGCCCCCAGCGGAGGCACCAACGCTGGCTGAGCAGGCCCAAGGCAAAGGAGATGTCGGGGGCAGCTCCCCAGGAGGCCTCGCGCTGTTGTGGTGTTGGGGAGGCTGCAAAGTCAGTCCCAGAGCCCCCAGGTCCTGCAGGGCTGAGCCCCCTGCTCGGGGCACTGGGGGAGGAGATGGAGACCGGGGAGGAGAGCCTGGCTGGGGCGGTGCAGGGGGCCAGGCAGGAGGTGTGAGGTCTCTGGTGCCTGGTTAGCTGATGCTCCCCCCCTTCAGGCTTTTACACGAGATGCTCCCCAGCTTGGTGAGGAAGTCTCTCTGCTTCCACTGGGCAACGCAGTCCTCGGAGACACGGAAATCGGCCTGGAGAGCAAAACAGAGCAGAGGGGACGAGGGTCAGGGCTGAGGCACGCAGGTTGGGGCTGCCTGCAGGGCAGCAGCACCTCGCTCAGCTGCGTGGAGCTTCTGTGCCCCGTCCCAGCCCCATGCACAGCCCCTCACCTGCAGCTTCTCAAAGACTTTTTTCTTCGGCTTGAGCTCGTCATCGGGCTCCCCGTCCTCGTAGCCCTCCACGTAGACGCGCTCCCCAGCGCAGCACCCAGCCGGCGGGTCCAGGGGCTCCACCTGCCGTGGCTCCCCCAGGCTGCAGAGGAAGCAAAAATCACCCTGGGGTGGCACCCGCAAACCCCTCGGCACCGCTGGGCTCGGTCCTGACCCCCCCCTCACCTGGAGGCGCACAGCACCATGCCCTGCGACTCCACACCCCGCATCTTCTGGGGCTTGAGGTTGCAGAGCAGCACCACCAGCCTGTCCTGCAGCTGCTCCTTGGGGACGAACTGCACCAGGCCGCTGACCACAGTGCGGGGCTCGGGCTCGCCCACGTCGATCTTCTCCACGTAGAGGCTGTCAGCGTCCGGGTGCTAGCAGACAGCAGCAAGGTGAGGCGCAGGGAAAGGGGCTGGGACGGCAAAGAACGAGGCAGAGCCGCCCCCTTTGCCACCCCGCACATGCTGAGCGCCCACGCTGCCATGCAGGAGGGCTGCCACCCTCTTCCCGCACCTTTTCCACGCTGATCACTTTGCCAACGCGGATGTCCAGCCGGGACGGGACGACGTTCTCCGGCTCTGAGTTCTTGGTGCCTTTCTCTGCAGGCTCTGGGGTGCAAAGGGAACAGTTGGGAAAGCTGTTGGTAAACCCAGGCAGCACAAAGTGACCCCAGATGCTGTATCCGATGCCCCCTGAATTTCCTGTTGGGCTACACAGCACTGTCTGGCCCTCCTCTGCCATGCTGGCCTCTCAAACAACAGCAAAGGTGCATGGCGACATCTCTGGGGTAGGCAAACAGCCCAGGCTCTGCCTATTTCTCCACCTGATGCTCTCCAGGACTGTCCCTGCAGGGACTCTCCCCTTCCCATCCCTGTTTCCCCCAGCTCCCAGTGCCTCCTTACTGGCTTTGGAGGGGCTGGGATAGGCCGCGTTGGTCAGCTTCTTCAGCTCCGGGGTGTTGAACTTCTCTCTGATGGGGTCAAGCAGTTTGTTCAGGGCCACTTCCACCGAGTTCTTCAGGTCCCCGGGATGCACAACCTGCGTCGCGACAGACAGATGGGGCTCTGCAAGGTCTCCTCCAGCACGGGGGGGAGGAGCAGAGTTCAGGTCCCTGATCTGAGGCCAGAGGGGTGCCAAGATCTCTCCTCTCAGCTTCAGCAGACACGGATCTCGTCCCAGAACGGGATAAAAGCACATCTGGGAGGTTGCTAGTGACAAAGGGCAGGGCTAACTGCATTGGAGGGGGGACAAACCTCAGGGAGAGCGCCTGGCTGAGGCAGCCCCGCAGCAGGCAGAGCCCAGGGCCACCAAGTCCCAGGAGGGGACAGCAAGCCCCTCTCTCCCTGGCACAGATTTTCTCCTACAGAGCTCATGGGAGCCTCAGGGGCAGGGGGCGAGGGGCGTTCAGCTCCTCCCTGCACTCACCTGCTCAGCGAAGTCCTTCTCCAGGGCCTCATAGTCCGTGTAGGTTTTGTTTCCTCCCCATTTTTCTTCCCGCAGAATCACAAACTCTGTGAGATTAAGGCTCAGATTAGCCCACAGGACTCACCCCCTGCCCAGCCAGATGAACCACCCCACTTTGAGGGCCACACGCTCCCATCCCCTCCCCTCGACCCCCCAAAAGCTTTGGCCCTGGCGCCTCGGCATGGGGAGCCCTCACCTGACTTGAGGGGAAAGAGGACGTGCTTGATGAAGGAGAGGACGCCGTTGTTCTCCACGTTCCCGGGCTCACAGAAAGCCTTCTTCAGCTTCTTCTTCACATCCTCCTTGCGGTCCAGGAGGTCGATCTTTGAGTCCTGGAGGAAGAGATTTCTGCAGCCCTTTTCCCAGCCTCTCGCCCAAGCGAGGACTCGTGCTGGTGCTGCTGCACCTTTTTCTCAGGCCCCAGCCTGGGGCAGGGAGAAGTTTCCTCCTCTCGGGGTGCAGACTCCAACCCCAGCCACGAAGCTGTGCCCGGCAGAGCCCCTGACCCCAGCCACCACACAGGGACCAACCTCTTCCGACGAGCTCATTTTGCTTCCCGTCAGGCCGGGAACCATCGGGTTCATCAGGTGGATGCGCTTGGCGTAGCCCAGGGAAGGGAGGTACTGGGAAGGAGCAAGGAGGCAAGTCACGGACAATCCTCTTCTGCAGGACAACCTTAACCCACAGCCCACGTGTGCTCCTGGATCCAGGTAACTGTGAGCACAGCAGTGGGACCCAGCAAGCTCTGGGGGGTTCATAAAGCCCTGGCAGCCACCGCCAGGGACGTGTGGCAGCCCCGTGTCACACACCAGAGCCCTGCAGGCCGCAAGAGCAGCAGCAGGAGCTGCAGGGAGCCCCGTGACGCTCACACACCACTGACACGCTTCTCCCAGCGGATCTGTGAATCTCCTAGCCCTGCATTAGGACCACAGGGGACCCCAACACCCCCGTTCCTGACCTTCTCTGCAAAGGTGAAGATCTTCCTCTGATCAACTCCTCCAAACTGCGCATCGACCTTGAGGTACTCCTCGTCCAGGGCCTGCGGGGAGACACGCAGAGCCTTGAGCTTGGCCCTGGGACACCAGTTCCCAGCTCGCTCAGCCTTTGGAGGCCCTGCCCAGCCCCGTTGGGCCCCAGGAACAATGCCCAGGGCCAGGCACGCAGCCTCACACGTCCCTGTGGTCCTGGCCTTGCCAGCGCCTCCCCGGCACTGGGGCCCTGCCAAGCGGCCCCGCCACGCACCTGCAGGCCTGGGTAGAGCAACCCGCTCAGCAAGGGGTGCTCCACCTGCTTCACTACCTCCGCTCCTGCCTTCTTGGCGTCGTGCTGCGTCACCACGGAGGAGAGGCGGTACACGTCCAGCGTGTACTCCCTGGGGGAAGGGACAACGCTGTCAGCACCAGGAAGGGGGGCGGCTGTGACACACCGAGAGAAGCCTGGAGGCAGCTTCACTCTGTTCCCTGAACGACAGCGCCTGGGAGCAGACCTGGGAACAGCAGAGCCCCAAGCCAGGCTTTCCCTCCCAGAGAGGAGCAGGCACCCAGGACTCACTTGCTGAGCTGGTAGTCCGTGCCCCGGACAAACTTCAGCTTTTCCAGGGGCACCCCGATGCTCTCCAGCATGGCCTTGATCACGTTCTCGTAATAGCGAGTGCGCAACTCCAGCAGCTCCCAGGGGGCCTTCATGTTGTCCAGGTAAGCGTGGAGGTCAGCGAAGAGTATCGTCACCTGGCACGGAGGAACAGAGACGGGGTCAGGGACCCGCAGCGTGGCGACAAAGCCCCCCCCTGGGTGTGATAACCCCCCACAGCCCCTCACCTCGCAGCCCTGCTTTCAGGAAATCGGCGATCTTGGACATGGGCACGAAGTAGGCAACGTGCGGCTTGCCCGTGGTGGCGGTGCCCCAGTAAATCTTCACCTCCCGCTCCTTCAGGATGGCCTGACAGCTTGTCCTCGCCCAGCACCTCCTGCGGGGAGACCACGGGCGTCCTACACGGCCGGGACCCCCCCCAATACCCCCAACACCCCCAACCCCCCCCTCAGGGCCCTGTGAGGCCCTGTGAGGCCCTGAGGCCCCCCCCGCCGCGCTAGGCCCGGCCCGGCCCCGGTACCTGCAGGTTGCGGGTGATGAGCTGGTACTTCTCCTGCGGGCTGGGCGCGGCCTCCATGGCGGCAGCTGGGGGGAGAGGAGGCTGTTAGCGGCCCCCCGGTGACCCCCCTCCCGGTGCCCGGTCCCCCCCCGGTTCCCCCCGGCCCCACCGACCCTCCGCGCGTTGCATCAGCCTCAGCCCGGTGCTCGCCGGCTCCTTCCTGACGTCACTTCCGCCGCTCGGCGCGCTCCGCCAATCAGGGGCCGGGCGGGGCCGCCCCGCTAAGATGGCGGCCGCCAGGAGCCGGCAGCAACAGGGCTGAGGGGCTCGAACCCCCCCCCTGCGCTCCCTGGGGTCTCCCCGTGGTTCCCCCCCGGCACAACGGGCTCGGAGCCCCCTCAGGCAGAGCTGGGCCGGCCCCAGAGCGCTCCAAGCCGAGCACATTAACTATTTCCAAACAGTATTTAATGCAAAGAATTCCAGTAAAGTGTGAGGCGTTTGGTCCTCCTTCAAGTCCTCACTGGTTAGGAACCACGTTAGTTACACCCTGCAGGGCCCAATTCACGTTTCCAAAAGTGTTTCATGCAAAGAGTTCCAGCAAAGCGTGAGGTGTTTGGTTCTTAAAGCCCTCACTCGTTAGGAACCATGTTAGGTACACCCCCCCAGGACCCAATCCACAATTAATTTATTTGCCTTTTGTTTCTCTTTGAAGCACCCAAGCACTTGCAGCACTCGCAGAACTCTCGGCATGTCTTAGCAAGGACTGCTCATCACTCCGTGTGCTCCTGTACAGGTTGTGTGCATGTGGCAGGCTCCCGAGGGTTTTTCTTCCTTCTGTGAGGTTACAGCGTTATTCCAAAAGTGTTATTTTTTGTTGTTTGGACAGAATGACAAGAGGAAACAGCAGAACTGCTGGTTTTTATTTCTGGAGTAGGTAACTTCCTTTTTTGAAAGCAGCAATAATCAAAACAATGGAAAGACAAAAGGTGTTCCTTTAAATCTGTTGGTCAAAGGGGGCAGGAAATACTTTGCCTGAGCCCAGATTCTCCTGCTGGGTGAGAGTCAGATAAATGCAGGGCTCTCAGGTCAAAAGATTCATGTTAGCGTGAATCCTCTCAAAGAGAAAAAACATGTTTTGTTTGTAGATATTTTTAAACTATTGAATTTTACAGGAAGGCTTTTATCTTACAATCTTTCATTATAATACTCATTTGTATGAGTGTTTAGAGTGACTAATACGCTGCTGAACGTCCTGTTAGTTATGTGACAGAACTGCTCTTCTGTTGCTCAGTTTTTCCTAACCTGGAAAAGGCTCTTTGTTTGTTTTGTCTCCTTGGGGAATGGAAGTGCAGGCTGAGAGACGGGGAGCACACCATCAGAGAAACAGCTGCTCCATGCCCCAAGTTCTGCCTGCTTTTAAGGATCCTCTCACTTTCCAGATGATTCTGGCCATGCTTACTTAGTTGCCAGTTCTTCTGAGTCAAAATACGATGATGTAGCCCCTTCTCTAGATAAAGCCAGATGTTTTGATGATAGTGAGCCAGACGACTCCTTGTTGGAACTGTCAGACAGTGACCAAGGGAATTCTCCTTTCAATTACACTGAGGAAGAGATCCAGGAAATCTTGGCAGATGAATGCTTGGAATGTGAGCAGCACATAACTAGAAAAAGCACTCTGAGCCAAAATGTAAGTGGGGAGAGTGAAAAGGATGTGAGCAGCAGCTGCACTGGGGCATCAGTCATCAGTGAAGATGCAAAGGTAGCCTCAGAGATCACAGAGAAATCAAAGGTACCTCTGTCAGTCCAAGTAACCGACATGCTCTTTGACCTTGATATTGACGAGCTTCTAAACCTTAGCCCAATCGATGCTGACTATGTAGATCAGCCACTGGAGGACAATTATTTGGAGGAAGTTGAAGTCATAAATGACCACATAGCGTGTGATCAGGCTGATGCTAGTGACTGTTTTCCCAGAAAATCCTCGGGGTGGCTGATGCCTAAAGACGAGCAAACCCTGGGTGTGGATTGCCTGGGAAAAACTTCCTCTACAGGCACAGATGTGTCCAACATCTGCGGTGATCATGTGGGAAAATCTGTGCCCTGTTCAGACCTTGCCTGTGGCCAGCACAAAGCTGATGAGAGTGTAGCACCTGAGAAGTCCCAAACCATCTTCTGGGTCAGAAAACAATAACTTCCCAAAGCAACAATGAGCATTTTTTTCAACGATACCAGACTCTCCAGTGGATGATGTGGAGCAGGAATCTTCAGATGCTACACAGCCATCAGGCAGCATTGAAATAAACACACATTTCAGTGCTGACTACAACGTTTCTGATTCTATTCCTTTAATTTTCTACTTGTAATGTCCATAGGAGCCCAAGCGTGCACATCACTACCAAAACCTTGCCACATAAACCCCACTACGCTAGGCAAAGTCATTCCTGAGCCCCCGATGGAGGAGAAGAGATTTTTCAAAGCCACTAAATGCCTTTGCTCTCTGTAAAATGCCCCAGCACCACCGAACCACTTTGTCTGGCCGCTTGCTGCTGTTTCCCTCTTCGTTTTTTCTTAAGAGGCCCTGAAATAGCGGGGAGGTGCCCGGTGTTTTACCCTGTGAGGTGCTGCGAGGGCAGGACCCGAGGCTGGGACCGGGGAGGCTGCAGCAGCCCCGGGCACTGCCGCTGCGGCTCCCGCAGGTGGCAGCAGCGGAGCGGCTCCGGGAGAGGCTCCCTCAGCCCCCGGGGCTCCGAGCCCCGCTTCTTTGGGACCCCCCCGGGGCTGCCACAGCCCTGCTGCACCCCGGTGTCCTCCGCATTGCCCCTGCTGTGGCCGTGCCACAACAGAAATCTGCTGCTCCCGAGGGCTCGCTGCGGGTTTGTGGGCTGTGAGCCGGAGGGTGGCTTGCTGCTTCCCTCGGTAACACTTTCTCCCCTGCTTTGCTCTCGGAATGTTATCTTCGTGGATTTATTTAAATAAAGAATGTTATTTGTGTAATCATAAAATGGCACCACCGCAAGTTAATGTTGGTACTGGTTCCGTGAGGCACTTTGTCCCTCTGTGTCTTCTGCAGCGTGATGTGATAGATGTGCCCAAACATTAATGCCACTCGTTATTTTAAAGACACAAACAACAGACGAACACTTCAGAAGGGGAAACTGAACAAAAGAACCCATCCCATCTCGCCCAGATGCAGAGCTCTGTAACCCCGGACCATGGGGGTGAGGCTGTGCCAGTGAGGAGGGTGCAGGGGAGGACATTGGGGTGGGAGGCCAGCCTCCTCTACTCACGTTCTGTGATATTTTGAGGGAATTTCACTTTTCAGAGGGAAATAAGAAGAGCACTTGTTAGCACTGGAAGGGGAGGCTGGTAGAGCCGGGGTGTTCTGAAGGGCAAGGAGTGTTCTGGTAGCTTCCATGGATGGCCTCCCACTGTGCTCATTTCGACTGTTCATGGGTGCAATAATTGTCATTTCTTGAGAGTTAGAAGAAGCTGACAGTTTTGTGGTTCATTGCGTGGAGCCTGCACTTATCTGGGCTGCACGAACAGCTGCATAGCCACGGGGCTGCTTTCCAGTGTATGAATACAGCATAAGTAATGCAGAGGGAACTAAGCAAGGAAGGCTAAAACGGCCTGTTTTCTCTTCCTTTCAAATTAAAAATGCAAGACGTATGTTCTGAGTCAGAGAAAATCAGGCAGAAGCTCCAAATGAACAAGGCTGGTGAGTGAAATAGAGATCTATTTTGCTGGGGAGGAACATTGTCTGCGACGCACACAATTTTGTTTTCTTATTAGTGCAAACCTCTTGTATTCCAAGTAGCTGCAGGCTTGGAATTCAGCCTGACACCGTGTGGGCTTTCCCAGTTGTCAGAGAAAAAACGTCTCAGTGGGCTGACTTTGACCCTGTATGGTACTTCTTTGCACCCGGATCTGCGGCAAGTATTTTGTGTATTTTCTGTGTATTGATTATGTATCGATGCAGAACGATCCTGAGACATTCCTAAAGGAAAACTAACAGGTTTCAGAGCCAGCCAGGGAATTCCCTTTGAGAAGTGGCAACTGTTCAAGTGACTCAAATCATGATATAAAGCTGCCACAAATCTTTAGCTCTGTTTTGTATTGCAAGTCTCCTGGCATTTATATCATGGTAGGCTTACATTGCTGTCCCTTCCTCTACATAATCTCTTTGCACTTCCTTTTATCCTGTCTCTTGCTTCTTGTTCGTATGTTGTCTGGGTGGATTACAGGCTGGCTATGGCAGGGGGTTTATCTTTTCACTTATCTCCATGGTCTCTTGCACTTGTGTATTCTCTAAATACCACTTTCTTATATCTGTATTGGGTGACTGTGTGCCAAGAGTGGTGCTAACCCATGGTTTTGGTTGTTCTCCCTCTCATTCTAGTTTCCAGAGGATATTCAGCCTGAATGGATAAATTTATTTTCAGCTTCCCGTAGGGATCTAAATGCTGCTGAGGCTGCGTCGTAGCAGATGTAGAAATGAGACGCGATTTGAACATCTGCATGGAAACGAGTGGCTGAAACTGATTGACCACAAAAGATTTCTGCCAGCTGACCACTTGTTAGTATTCATACTTCATTATTGCCCTTTATTCAACAGTAAATAGAATCATATCCCTCTTGATGAGATCCTCCTCAGCAATTCTGGTCGGGCTGTATCAGTCTGCAGAAGTAATGAGGCTCCTTCTTTTATAACTGTGTGGTTGGCGCCGAATGCCAGCACTCTGCTCTTTAGTCTTGTCCTCAGCGATGTATCTAACTGGATGGGCCTATTTTTAAAAGGGCGGGGGAAGGACAAACTAACAGAAAAAGCATTTCCATCTCTAAACATAGCCTTCTCTCGTTTTCCACCCAAACATCTGCACTTCAGGAGAAAGCTTTCACAGGTCATTAACATTGCAATTGTGCATATAGGCTAGTGCTTTCAGCACCTGCTGCACAGACAACTTTTCTCCTGTCCCTCAGAGCAGGATCACTCTCAGCAGAGTCATGAAGCACCTGGTACCTGGAAAACCATGCTAGCTTCGCCTGACCTCCAGCCACTGCCTTCCCCAGTGCTTCTGCTCGCAGGACTCTGCCAGCACTTCTCCTTGGGGGCTGGTTTGAGAGACTTTGATGATGTTTCCCAATTTCATTGGACTTCTTGCAATCTGGGATAGACCTGATAAGATTTTTTCTTGTGTCCCTCTCGAGTCAAAGGGAGAAGAGGAAGACATACCTTATAGAGAGCCACAGATGTCTGTGACCATCTGGTCTTGCTGTAATAGCAGAGATCAATGCCTTTAAAAAGCAGATACCCAGGTTTAAGGTGATGGAAGGGGAGAGTAGGATAAGGGAACATATGGAGAAACAAATGTGTGAAATACAAATAAACAGTCTGCTAGGAGGCTCTGCCTTGAAACAGCCTGGTCTATTGACTGGTACTGAGCTAGGAAAAAACGTTAATCTTTGAAATAGTTCTTACCTGCCAACACGCATTTGGCTTGAATGAAAAAGCGTGCACGGAAGGTATAGGACTTGGGCTCTTCAGTCATGAAGGAGGAATTACAGTTACAGCTTGATTAATGGACTGTTTGAGGATTTCTCAGCTCCTGGGAGCTCTTGGGTGGCATAGAAACAGGTACAAGTTTTATGTGCATCTTTTATTGTCCCTGCACTCTGGCAGAAGTAGAGCGATGTGACCAGTTCTCCCTGCTCTTCTCCAGCACTGACCAACGCAGCAGCAGCCTGGGCAGCCTCAGGTGCAGGGGCTGGGGCTGCACCCCTGGCAGCAGCACACGGAGCCCCCTGCTCCCGTGACCCCATTTGATTGTGACTCAGATTTGGGAATCTAGGACAACTTCTGTGCAGGAAGGCGAAGAATTTGTGAAAAGTTGTGATTTCTTCTAGTCAGAGACGTTATGCATTAGCTTTTTGCCGACAACATTAAGTGGTGTGTAATGTGGCAGTGAGAGCCTGCCTTTTGTTAGCTGTCCTGGAGTGCTTCCTTTCTTCCCAAACAATGCAGCCAGAAAAAATGGATTTTGAGAACATTTCAGAAATCTTCTCCAGAAGTATCTTTTTGACAAGAAGTTCTTCCTTCGGGCAAAGAGAAGCTGATACTGTGGTTTATGAAGGAGACCTGAATTTGCTCGAGAAACATTTTGTTCCCTGGAAAGGAAGAAGTGTTACGCAGAAAAGTGATTTACATCACTCACATGACTGCAGTGGCAGGATGGAAAAACTTTAGAATCTCAACTGGACAAGGACACAGGCTGTTCTGTACCGAAAGCACCTTTCAAGGACGGACCTTAGCAAGGGCAGCATTCCAAGGAATTTACCTCTCACTGCGCTGTAGAACCAGTACTGAGGGAGCAAAAGAGCAACCACTAGGTTGGTGCTACTGATTGTCCCATATTTTGTGAATGATTCAAGGACTCTTGCATTCTGTTGAAGAATTTCAGAGCTGCTCTTTTGATTAGAGGGCTTGTTCTGACTGCAAGAGCCGTGCTATCAAAGCATTCAGTGGTTGTAGGTGGCGATATCGTGCTACCCTTGGATTGTGTATACATGTAGATTGACTGTTGTAATAGGTCATGATGGCAGAGAGGCACTCAGTCTTGGAAAAGCACTTATATTTAACCCACTGTCATCTGTAAATGTTGCTTCTGGGACCTGGAGAGGTGTTGCTCAGGTTTTCCTGTCCTCTTCTAAATCCTTGGGCTCAGGGTGCTGGTTGTAGGATGTAAAAATGGCCTCGAGGACCAGGAACAGCACTGAGAATCAGGCTGCTATATCCAGTCTCTCGTGGGATGCTTTTTTCTCTCGCTAATGCCTTGCTTTGATGAACTGCAGATGCTCTCAATGAATTACACCGTTCTGATGAATAAGGCTGCCAGCTTGGAGTACCGGACCCTTGACAAAAAGTGGCAGCGGCTGTCAGACCTCACCGTGAGGTAGGGTGTGAGTGCCCGCAGGAAGAGCAGACACTTCATTTCCTCTTACAAACATTCTCCAGGGGCACACTTTTATCCATTAGTCCGTTGAGGTGTTTTCAGTTCATTTTAAAGAATTTTAAATTCTAAATTTCTGCCACGAAAAGTAAAAACTGCACCAGTTGCCAGAAGAAATTATTTCAGCCAAAGACTTGCAGTACCCATCAAAGTGTAAAAGTTTGGTGCTCTGCGATCCACGCAACCCTGGCCCATAAAGACCTCTAGGGAGCAGCCTGTATGATCCTGCCAGGATTTAGTTCTGAACTTCCACTGAGCAGCTACGTTGGGTGTAATGCAGATTCCTCTCCCCAGCTGCTGGCACGAACAAATTGCTTTGCTGGTTTGCGACCTCCGTGGTCACCAGCTGCTCTTGCTGAGCAACTGCTGCAGAAATGAAGTGCTCTGCGTTGGGGATGTGAGCGCCCTGTGCCAGACAGGTGCTCCTTCTGCAAGCCAACTGTTTTGTCAGTGTTTTTGTAGGAGAGGCCCCTCTGGTTCCTCGTACTCCCTTGGATGGGTTTGTATTTCCTGACTTACACTGATGCCTCTGCACAAAAATGAGAAAAAAATATAAGATAGAGTTGGCTTTTTTCAAAATGCATAAGGGGCAAAGCAGCATCTGATGATGTGGAAAAGTTAGCTATGGTCTGAAGATGGGAGATAACCAAACTCATTGAAATGTGACTCTTTTTTTTTATTATTATTCTCCTGTAAGGTTGTTTGAAGTCTTGTAGGGTTTTGTCCTGTTATTTCAGAATGTGCTTAGGTGTAGCAAATGAGCGTACCTGTTATGTATGTGCAGCACTTTGCTGAAAATCAGCCTTTTGTTTAAACTGCTGGGTAGTGGAGCCTTCAGCCTTCTCTGCTCAGCCAGGGGCAGAGAACTGAGCAAAGAAGGTAACAGAGCACGAGGCAGCGTTCCTGACCGGGCATTTTTAAACTTTCCTGTTGTTACTTACCAAGGTGCCTGCTTAAAATGTGGTTTCCCTTTCAGAACCTCATAACAAGAAAATGAGATACCAGCTGCAAGCCCCGGGGAATGGGGAAGGCATTTTTGGAGACGGTGCCGTTCCAGCCTAAACGTGCTTCTGTGTTGTGTTTGCTTTAACTATTTGCTTTAACTAAGTAAACTTACTTTCACAGAAATTACCCAAGGTCCGCCAAGAAAACCACTCAAAAGAACCGTCTTACGCAGCAGGTGAGCAAGAACTTGGACAAATATCACCATTTCCAGAGCATTCCTGGCCACTTCCAGCACAGCCCTGTCACTGCCTTTCCTTCTGTCTCATTTTGCTGCTGAGGGGCTGTCTGGTTCTTATTCCATGCTTAGAGTTGTTCTTCATTTTTTCTGGGTTTGAGCGGTTTTTATTTTGATAAATTCTTTCTTGATCTGTTTTAAATACACCCAATGGAAGTTTCTATGTTCTATAAACATTTAGAGTGGCTTTTGAAATGCAATTTGATGCGATCTGTTTTTATAGTTAACTTTTATTATGTTTAGCACCAGTATTATCCTTTGAAATAAAAATAATCTTACAGAGTAGGTAACAAACAACTGGAGACTGCATATTGGATGTGAGGATGTAATATCTCAGTGAGGGAGTCTGGAAAATATGCTTTGAAGTGGGAAAAGCTTTTCTTTAAAGCTTGGTCCTAAGCCTAGGCATTAAATCTCCTACAGTGATTGTTGGGCTACCTTTGAATAACATTAAGGTTTTAAATCGTACAAACAGCTTGTGGATGCTGTTCCCTCCACTTGGCACAGACAAAGTTATGTTTCAGTTTACAGTAAACTGGGGAGCAGCTGCTGATTTCCCTGGCTTGGTTATGTCTTGTCTTGTTCTGTTGTTCTTGCCATCCCCGAAGAGTTTGCTGCCTGTCATTAATTTTCCTTGTTTCATTTGTTACTTCATGCAAAAACGTTTCATGAGCTTTGCACTCCCGTTTATAAGCACTGTGCACTTGTTAGATGTGGCATTCCTTTTCTCTTTTGCTGTGTTATTATACCGGACCAGTCTTGCTGCAGCATACCTTTTCCTGTCTCGTTTCCTTTAATCCCTGAAGTGTCAGGAACACACTGCAGGAGAGCACCAGCAGTAAAGGCACTGCGAGTAGCAGCAAGGAAAGGAGTTGGTTAATATTCTGGGAAGAAAATCTCAGTGAGCAGCAGAAAGGGAAACCCAAGAGCAGGTCACCCAGGCTAATCTCTGTCCTAAGCTCCCAACCTGTTGTTGGTGCAGACTGACTCCTGGCCTTCAGAAGGGATGGGCAGCAGGAAATCTCATGGCTTTAGCTGGAATTCAAGCTAGCTGCCACTTCTCACTCATCCCCTTCCTCTTTTAGAAGCCTTTCTGTAAGGATTCCTGCCTTGTGCAGCTCTTCCCTTTCACTTACCTGCTTTTTGGGGTGCCCAGGGCAATGTGACCTCACATTCATTTGTGAAGCTGCACTGTCTGACGACTGCTGGTCTCTGCTGCCTCCATCGCCCTCCCTAACAGAGGGTGGAAATGCCGAATTATTTGGAGGATTTGTAAAACAGAGGTCAATCATCTGCAAAATGCTCTTCCCAGGTGTGCTGACAGGGCCTGCATGGGCTTTGTGAGCCATTTGAGCATAAGAAGGTGTACGGGTAAATTTCAGAAAACAGATCGTCCATGGAGGAAGTGCTACTGTATTTTTATTACACCAATCTGAATCTTTTATGACACTTTTGTCTAACATGAATTTAAAGAAATAAAATTTGTGTACAGTACTAATATTTTTCAACGTTGAGCCTCATGTGTTTTATTTTGCCTTTCCAATCCAGACTGGGGCAGGAGGAGGTGGCTTTAAAAGCGGCCGAAGTTTGTCACTGACCTAGATGTGCAGTGACTGAGGCACAGAGGATCGAAGTAATTTGTCCAAAGGATAAGCAGCGGAGCTTGGAACAGAGCCTGCTATTGCCTGACTACACTAACTCGTAGATAATGCTGCACCCATTAACGAAGTAATTGCTGTGTTTTCATGCATAATTCATGTCGCATGGGGCAGGGGGTGTCTTGTTTCTGGTGGGTTGTACAGGCATACGTGGTGCATGTCCCAAGTCCAGCATTAGGGCTTTGTGTTAATAACCAATCTTCTCCAGGTAGTAACAGGTCCTTGATGCCACCGTAGCCTCTAAGTGACTTTGCTGCTGCGGTCACAGGCTGCTGGGACGGTGCTGGTCTGCCTCGACTGGTGATCGATGGTTACTGGTGATCAGCAGCGACACAACAGAGAGGGAAGAGCACGGGCAATGCTCTGCCTCTGCTGTGCGTGCTGAAGTGTGAGGCCTTCAGGGGTCCATGCTAGCTGTCTTGGTTTTATGTATCTCAGATTACTATGAAGTGATGCACTGCAGTCAATCTTGTATCGGTTTTCTCTCAACGCAAGCATTCTGTTGCCAGTTCGGCCATGCTGAGAAAATGAAATGGTTCTGAACAGGCAGCACCCTGTCGGGACAGGAGGGTGACGGTGTCCGTGCCTGTGCTCTGCCTACGGTCAGCCCCCCTGTGCCCGAGGACCGCAGGCAGAAGCAGGCACCTCCCTGCACGCGTTTTGTGGTCTGTGAATCCCAAATGAAAGAACACTGCCACGGAGAGGCTCTGCACCGTGTAAAGGCTTTGGGCTTCTGGGCAGCTTTGTGGCTGGTTTCATTCTTCAACACCGTGGCTGAGATTCATACATGCTGAACTGTAGAGATATGGTAAGGGGAGAGAGATTGCATATTACTTGTTCATGGAAGAACACGTTGGGCTGTTTATGATTTTTGCTGTAGTAGAATCCAGGAACGTGGGTCTGGAAGAGACTGTTCTGTGCAAGCAGCGTGTAAGCACTGTGATGAAATGTCTTACAATTAAAAAATTAATACCACGCATCAATGTATTGCACTATAACAACAGCAGCTAGAAAATGATGAATCTAAAATTAAACTACTTTATGGGTGGTTTTTTTTTTTTTTTTTTTTTTTTTTTTTTTTTTTCAGCTGTCCTCTCCACAGCTAGCTAACTTTTCCCTGCTTTTGTGCTGTAAGGTTATTGTAAATAAATAGGAAGAAATTATGTCCTGAAACATGAAACAATAGTGGAAGCTGAAAACAGTTTACTTTTGGTTTAACAGTATGTCTAGTACTATGCTGGCTGCATCCTCTGCAAAACAGGTCTGGATGGCATAAATAAGTTATATTTAGCAGTTGGTGGCACCGAGTGAGGTTTTTCTTGTCAGTTAAAAAGGACAGCGATGTGCTGCAAAGTGTCAAATGGCATCGTGGGGCTGTGCCATTATTGCCACTCAATGACTCCATACCCAATGTGTTCAGACTGCGAGCAAAAAGATGGCTTTCCTGGCTGCCAAATTCGCTGACTCCATCTGGGATCTAAAATTCAAGCTGTGTCTTTCCTGGCTCTGTCACTAATAATAAAGGTTCTTCATTTGGAACTTAGTTAAACAAAATTGATGCTGAGGCACGAGCCGAAAGGGAATCGAGCTCCCTTTCCCTGAGACGTGTGGGCTGGGAGCGCTAACAAGTAGGAGCATAATCATTTTAATCGATAAGGTCATCAGACAACTGAATACGCACCAGATTTGTGGAGGAAACAGAAGATATTTGAGCATAACAACATGTTGATCACACTGCTTTTTAACAAATGCTAGAAAGCTGATTGAATTTGGTCAGTTAGCCTGTGTCAGGCTCCAGCTTCCAGGCCAGCCTGGAACAGCTCAGTACGTGTAGTTAGGGAGCTTTTCTACAAATCTGGGGAAATTGCATTTGGTACAACATATGGTATAATCTTTATCCTTGCTGGAAGTGCAGTCTGACTACTCAGTCAATGAATTGCCATATTTTTATCAGCGAAATGGATGTGGAGCTGCGACACACACTTCTGAGTGATGTAACCTCTAATGTCTTCGGCAAATACCGGCATTAGCAGCCTGCTCCTCTCCATTTACATCTCCTCCAGAAAATCATTACCAGCTGAGATTATACTAACACTTTGTGCCGTGTAGGTGTTTCCTCCTCTGATGCTATTGAGCTGTCAGTGAACAAAATGCCTAATGTTCTCATTTTCCTCCGAGGAGACGGAGCTCGGAGCTTGTGCTGCTCCTCGCCGTGCGGAGGGAGGTGTGAGGAGCGCAGGGCGCTGTGTTGTGAGCTGCAGGGACACGCTGTGCAGGATTGTTTGCTCCACACCACCTCCTGCGGTTCACTTTTCCTAAACTCGTGGGGGAGGAATATATTGGCTAAATTGTGCTTGTAGGCATAATATTACAGCGCTCGGATGGATGGAGGCAAGTGGTGCTTAACTTCAAACAGGCAAAGCGTGTGTTGGCAAGGGGCTCTGCTTTCAGCTCCTTGCTCCTCAGTGTGCCCGTGTCCCTGCGTGCTTGGTTCCTGGGGAGGGATGGTTTTAGCGCCCAGGGGTGCAGCAGAGCTGGCCAGAGGGCTGCTCGCCTCCGGTTTGAGTTCAATGGGAAATCCGCTCCTGCAGGGCTCTCTGGGATCCCTGTCACACCAGCCCACTCCCACCTGCATCTTTTTAGTATTCATAGAAACCTCCCTTTCCTAATCCCTGCTTCCAATAACCAGCCAAAATCAGCACTCAGGCAAAAACATTTGGGGAGCTGTGAATGGCCTTCAGGGTGGGCTCTTCTGTTGCCCAAGGTGGCTTCTCACTGCTGGCATGGTTTTTTTTTTTGTATTCCCCCCTGATCTCTTGCCTCTATTGGCAGTAAAACACCTCCAAGTCCCACAAAGGAGGATCTTTTCACCACTGCTGATGAGAATGAGGTTTTTCTTCTCCAGGCTGGCTTAGGCTTGCAGTCGCTCAAGCCCAGAGCCTTATCAGTGTGTAACACTCATGGGGTACAGAAGGAGATCATACTGAAACAGCAGGTAAGGCTTTGATGTCTGAGTCTCAGAAAATAGGATCTTAAGTATTTTTCCTTTCCTATAGTGGGAAACGCCTCTTCCTGAAGTGTGGACTTACCACATCACTTTAATTCGTAGTTTAAAACATTTCCTTTAAGAGAATCACTTGGAGTTGATAGCTTGGAGTCCCAGTCTGATGGGCTGAGTTTCTGCCAGCCTACATTTGTCTCCTCTCACTAATAGCATTATTACCTTACCTTTAGAGCCTGCATTTATGGAACATAATGATAACCCTTTTAGCTTCTGCCACATTATGGTACAAATACTCAACTCTGAGTGAACACCAATGCTTTAAATTTTAATTCTCCTTTGACAAAGAACAAGGAGTAAGCACATCTTTGTTAGAAAAATAAGTGCTTTAAACCTGTAACTAGGGAACAACAACTGTTACTGTAAAAAAAAAAAAAAAGGATATGGTCTGAATTCCCAGGGACAACTGCCTTTAAAAACAGGCACACAACCTTCCGCCCCCCAAATCTGCCAAATTACCAGACTGAATTTCCTCACGAGCAGGCTTTAGAGGGCTGCCTGCTTGGCTGTCTGCTCTAGGATTATGAGAGAGCATCTCCCTTATCGTTTTGCACATGCTGTACCATCTGTCCTAAATCTCCTTTTATAGGGTTATGGATTCCAAATGACATTTCTTTCTTAGGAGATAACAGGGATGTCTGAAGAACCCTGCTAGTAGGTATGGCTGTGGTGCTATTTATGTCACACGAGGATTTTTTTTTTCTCCCTTCATCCCACAGCCACAATGAACTCTGGTGAACCATGCTGGTTCTTTGTACCCAGACAAAGAAAAAACAGTTCACCCGTAGTCCCTGGGAAACACAGGGAAAATCGCCCTGTTCTATTCCGTGTTGCACTTGAAGCAGGCAAAGATGAAATATTACTGAATTCAGACGTTACAAGGACACAGGATATGCCTTTAATCTTTTATTGTACATTATAAAATGTTTATTGCTCTGTCTGTATCAGAGGTGCTGACCTCTCCCTCTTGGTGATGGAGGAGTATGTTCTGGCAAAGGATCCTCTGCAGAGACCTTTGGGGTTGGCCTGCCTTCTGGAACTGGCACAAGCGAAGCCCTTGCTTGTTCACAACCGTGTCTGCAGGCAGACTGCCTAGGGCCTTTCTCCCAGATCAACCGTTTTGGACAGGCTGGTGTCAGTGGAAGTGGAGAGATGGCTGACCGCGGTCACCGCCAGCCCGTTTCTTTGCAGGGACTTTTAAACCAGGCTCATCCGAGTGCAGGCTTGTAAAGAGACTTAGACCCTTCTCAGGCCAACCTGTCTGGGTTTTGATGGGACAAATAGGATCTTGCCTCATCCCCTAGTGCATATGGAGTGGTCTTGTGGAGTAGTTAAATAAATACAGATACCCCATGGCACACTACAAAGAATAATTTTTTTTCCGTGTGATGGACTTGCATCTATCAGCTTCCAGAGCACCAGCAACCCCAGGGATCCTGTCAGCTGTGAACGTTAAGCACTTAATAAGAGAGAGGAGAACCCCAACCCCTTTCCCGTTCATCACCACCCTTTTCGTGGAGGACTGACTCCAGCAGACACCTGGCATTACAGCGTCACAGAAAATAGTGCAGACGGGACGTGTAAGGAGAACCAGACCTTCCCACAGGAACCCTACGAAAAGAAGCCATTTAAGAACTTAAGCCCTCAGAAAAAGGTCCCTTAGGCAAGAGCCTTTTGCAGTAAATGGCTATTGCCCCTGGAGACCTTGCATAGCAACCGGTATCATGAGTTTTTTTTTTTTTTTTTCTTTTTTTTTTTTTTTTTGCTGACTGGCTACGTTTTTATGGACTGTTTATCACACTGTTGGTGGACTCAGGCCCAGCTGAAAATACCATGGAGAAAATGTTTGAAATTATCCTGGAAGCTGAAGAGGGGCTTCTGGTGTCCCCTCGTACTGGTCTGTGCCAAAGTGTTTGGAGTGCCCCGAGTATCTGCGATGACGAACACCAGCGTGAGACAGGAGACACAGAAATACCGGAGTCATGAGCTGCAGCCTACCTGGAGAACAACCAGGGAAGTTCTCACAGTAGGAATGGAAACTGGGCTGTGACTTTTTTTGTTTTAAAAACCCACCTGTAAGACGTGTTACATGATACATATCAATGGAACAAAGCAAGCCAAGAGCACACAGCAGCCAAAATCTGGTTGCTACTCGTGTCTGTGAGGATCTTTCCTTCCTTCTTGCTCGGAGAGGAGGGACAGTGACTGATGCCTGAGCTCACGTTGATACTGCCAAGATGTAGTGAGGCAAAATAAAGATACACCGAAATCTTGTAACATGTCCAAGGACGAGGAGGCTGTTCCAGAAGACGGAGTGCGAAGGTGGAGAGGGGGGTGTGAGAAGTTGCTCCAGCCCAGGTGATTCACGAGTCCAGTGCAGGATCACCGGCAGCAGCCGTCTCACTGATGCTTTTCCATCTCAATTGTTTGTTCAGGTTTCAGTTGTTGGTTTTTTTTTTTCATGATTTTTTCTTACTGGCCAGATGTTTTGCAGAACACAGACGAGGAAGGAGGTGTATGCCATCAAGTGACAATCGCTGGGTCTCCTTCCAAATTGCTCCAACATTATTTCACCTCCCCAGTCATCAAGGCTCAGAGGCAGAAAGTGAGAGTGAGAAATGGAGTCCGTCTTTCCGATGGCAGGCTGTCACGCTTCGATGATATTCACTGAGGGCTTGTTTTTTGGAAACTGGGAGAGAAGAGACAAATGAAGAAAGGACGTATTAGGAGTAACACGTGAGGAAAAAAAACCATCAGAGATCTCTGCAGTGTGCTGGCGAATTTTGTTTCTGTAAAAGTCCTTATTCCCATCCCCTGAGGGTAAGGAAAAAGGGCAAGCAGTGAGCATGAATTAGTGACTGTTTCAAATAATAAGTAAATGCAAAGTGGTGGGGATGTGCCAGAACACAAGTTGTGAACAGAAACACAGGAAAGTCAAATTTAATGGAATAAGTTGGTATAAATTACAGGCTTGAGTCTCCTTACACTATAAATACAGCATGCCTTTAACATCACATGTATTACCAGCCATGCTCCTGCTGATCAATTTTTCAGTTAATTGCGAGGCTAATGTCCCCTTTACTGCTTGCCACCTAACTGCTGTTCTGGGGGTAAGGAACCAAGCAGCTCAGGGACTGCAGCATTGCTCAGCACATTTTTTTCCTAGAGATGCTCAGATATTTCAAAAATATGGACTGAAATCCAGTTTACTGATGCACGAGGGCTGACCCAGAGGTGGGAGTGAAACGCTGGCATCCTGACACACCTGAGGTGCTCAGATGCTGAAGGAGCCACGGTGCTGGCATGCGTGGAGGTGAAGGAGTGCTTCCCTTCTGCATCCCCGCTGGAGGAAGGAGGCTGGAGCAGGGATGTTTAGCAGCAGCTGCTTTTTGGGGGTAATTTAGCTGAGTCCCAGCTGGAAGTTGATTGCCTGCCATGCCCCCCACCCCGTGTGCCAGCCTCACCTTGCTGCGGAGGAGCCCACCGCCCTGGTGCTCGGGAGTGCTGTTCTCCGAGGCGCTCTTGACTTTCTCCTTGCTGTTATTTGGCTCGTTGTCTTTGATGATATCGTACTGTCTGCAAAACAGGGCGATCACCCCTAACAGGAAAAAGCATTAGTGATCACACAAATGAGCTCAGCCCCTGGAGCCTGCAGAGATCAGAAATCCCTTGCTTGCCAGCCAGCTTTGTGCCTCCTGGAAGAGATCTCGGCAGCATTCACAGTTGTTCCTAAGGCTCATTTTCTAACACAGCTAGTTGGCCCTCTGGCTGTTTCCTTCTCAGCGCCAATTCCATGCTAAACTAGTTAGATGGAAGGACAGAAGATTAATTATATTCCAATTTCCCTGTCATTAAATGGGACAAGTGCTTTAAGCCCTACATTTGGATAGCGATTAACACCGACTGTGTGGTTAAATGGTATCTTTGCTTTGCAAACGCAGGAGCTCCTGGAATTTCTGGTGAGTGGAAATGTGCCTCGTGATCTTTCTCCTCTGAGGTGAAGAGAAGGAGCTGGAGCTGGCAGGCGAGGCAGGTCCTGTACCCGCCTGCTGGCGATGTAAGCCAGGGTCTCCTGAGCAGCAGGACAACATCTGCAAATATGCAACTGTGACGGCAGCAAAAGCTGCCGCTGGAAATTTCCTCCCACACACAAGCACACAAAAAGAAAAGCAGGGGCAGCAATGACAAATAATAAGATTGAGAATGTCTTTCTCGGAAGCTTTTACACGACATTTTGACCAAATGACTTCTCTGCCTGGAAATTCCAAACACGGGGGTAAAGGAGACCTGAGCAGATGCTGCTTCTTCGCAACTGGAAAATATTTTAGCTCCCCTAACAGCAGAACATATGTAGAGCTTTTGCCAGATATCACAAACCGCTTCCTAAAGCGAGGTGGTGTTATGGCAGCTGCCCCCAGGTGTTACTGATGAACACAGTGGTCCAAATTCTTCCTGCGTATGTGAACAAATGGCCGATCCTGGGAGAACAGGCCAACATCTGGCATAGTCACACCTTCTGTGCCTCCTGATGGTAAAACTGAGGCACAGAGAAATGCAGCCAGGCACAGGAGCACGAGGCTCTTCTCTGAGTTGAGAGCCCGGGGCACTAATTCGGGCTTGCTTTTGCTAAACCATTGTCATGTGTTCAGGTTGTGGCCAGGGTAAGAGCTGCAAAGAGCTGTTTACATATTGAGATTTGGTAAAGAGCCCACAGGATGAAGAAGAGCTCTTTCCCACACCCACTTTCCTTCATAAATGTAAGTCATCTGACTAGAGGGGAAATTGTGGCATTAGCAAGTTCTTCATTCAGATGCTGATCGGAGTTTTAGATTAGGCTATGGCAGGAGATGAATCCGTTGTTCAGTCACTTCAGTGTAATTATTCATGATTGTTTTTACTGTCAGGGCATTTAAATTGGAATGTGCAAAGATAAAGCTTGATTTAAATGCTGGAAAGACCATGGGCTACAGATTTTTGTTAACCTTAATTTGGGTTTTCATTTGGTTATCGTCGTTAGCAATAATTGCTTTACAATGCATGGTAACCTCAGGTCTTTCCAGGGCAAAAAACCTATTTTAATGGATCTGATTCTGTGTCACCTGGATTCACTTGAAGAAACCTCGCAGAACTGTATTAGAGGACAGCTAATCCCTCCATCCCCGTTTTGGCAGCTCTCAGGTCAGTGACTGGCTTCCTATTCACATCTCTCCATGGAGGTGCTCTCAGCTCTGCAGAAATTAGTAGAAATGGGCCAAATCCTTTGGTGAAGTAAACCAGTGCAACCCACATGGGCTCGGGATTGCTGCCGTTTACAGCAGTGGAGGTGGCAGGCCACTGTCCTTAGCAGACAGACCTTCACGCAGTGTGACCTAACCCCAGGGGACCTGCGAGCTGACCTCAGCCCCTCGGTGCTGCCGTGGTGGTTTCTCCTCCAGCCGAGGAGAATTCTCCGTGCGGCTCTTGGCATCTCCGTGCGTGGGAATCCGGTTGGGCTGGGACAGGGGGACTAGAGGCGGAGTGGCACAGGTTGTCTTTTACGGATCGCAGATTTACCACAGTGCCAATTTCCCTGCCTGGCAATTTTCTCAGGTCACCTGAACCGTTCCCCATGGCAGCCTGCTCTGTGACTCGCAGGGAGCAAATGTTGTTTCATTCATGCCTTGCGCTGCCGCAGGAGCAGCAGCTGACTGGCAGCCAGGGGAGGCTGGGGCTCGAAATAGAAGACAAGCGCACAAACTTTATTTCCCATTAACTCACGCATGTAATATCCAAACTGAACAAGCCGAAGAGCTGCCTGCAGCCACTCTGGATGTGCTAAGCTGATGGGGTGGGACTCAGGAATTTTCCTCTCCCTGTTTGCTAGGCTTAAAATACAGGAGCGAGATCTGTCCTAGGCACAATTTGGTATAAGATCAATTGAAACACAGTCCCAAACTCATGTTGGAAAGAGCTCGTGCAGATTTTCCCTCCTTTGGTTAATGTGCTTCTGCTAATGTTCCTCCTCTTCCTATTAAATACTGTTCTTTGTGTTTTAACAGTGGATTTTGTGAGTATCTGGGTTTATTGGTGTTTTGATGTTTGGAGCTATTTGTTCTTTCAATGCTACCATTGTTTGAATTGTTTTTGCAGTGGGTTTTGGTGTATATATAGTGGGTGTTGAGAGCAAGTCTCTTGATGTCTGACGTGTGTTTGAACTTTGGCAGAATTCTTATGGGAATTTCTGCTTTGCATGAGAGCTGGAGCCATATAATAAGCCAGTTAATTACAGTGACCTGTGTCATTTGAAGGGCTCGAGGCATCCTGGCGGATGGCTGAGGACATTATCATCAGTGCTTTCTGGAAAAATTGCGCTTACAGGATTAGCCATGCTGAATTAGACAATTGGTTCATCAAGTCCATTATCTACTTCCTGCTGCACCAGATCACAGCACTGATTCACCTGCTTTTGGCACTGCCCAGCTCCTGATGCTGCAGAGGGAACTGAAGTGCCCTTACAGCTGAATGTGCAGCGCTCTTCATGGGAGGAAGGGTTTCTTTTCAGGTCTTACACGATTACACATGCAAACCAAGCAAGCCACAAGCCCTGGGGATATCATGTGCTTTCGACAGAGAGATTGAACTGACCTGCCCACATAAACAACACCACAACAATGATGAGAATTTCCCCTGCTCGCAGCTGTTGGTTTTTCTTCGCCATCTCCTTCATTGTCACCTCATCTGCACAAGGGGAAAGAGAGATGGTGAAACCTAGCCGCGTGGCTCGGCCGGGCTGCAGGCACCAGTTCAGCAGTGCCTTTGGCTCAAATCATCAGCACAGAGCACTCCTTCTCGCCCGCCAGCCCCGCGAGCGGTGCCTTGAGCCTGCAGGGATCTGCCCGTCCCTGGCAGCCTGCAGGGGATGGGGCAGGGGGCAGAGGCAGGACAGGGCCAGCGGGCAGCTCCCGTGGAGGTGCTGCCACGGGGTGAGCCCACACGGGGTCCGGCCCCGCGGTGATTTCACGCCGCTGGCTCTGGTCTCTGCCAGCGCCGTCTGTGCCTGTCACAACACCTTGCATGCTTCAGCAGCTCCTCACCCGGCTCGGGAGCGGGGAGCCTGGCATGAGATTTTTCACCGGGGCCATGGGATTCAGAAATGAGCAGAGCCTTCTCGCAGGGCGTAATGCGCCTCCTCGCCTTCGCAGCACTCAGAAGATTACAGCTCAGGCCCCCGGGGAGGGAAGCAGCGCTCCGCTTAGTGCTTTCAGATGAGCAGCAATTCGGTATTTACCGACACCAAACCATTTTAGCAGGAAGAGTCAAGAACTCACAACTGCCTAAGAACCACGGCCAAAAGCCCTGCAACAGGCCGAGTCCTCGGCTGAGTCCCCTTCATATCCCAGCCCCCTGCGGTCCCCAGCCCTCGCTGTAGCAGATTCTTCCTGCCAGAAAACCTTCCACATCTGGTTTGGCTTAAGAGGAGCAAGTGAAGGAACCTCCAGGCAGGAAGCTGGAGACATCCATCACCCGTGGAGATATCCAAAGCCCAAGTGGACGTGACCCTGGACCACCTGCTCTAGCTGACCCTGCTTGAGCAGGGGGTGGGGGTAGATGATCTCAAGAGGTTCCATCCAACCTCAGCTATTCTGCAATTTGGCAGAAACCTTTGAAATGTAAGAAAAGTGGAGTCTGTGGGTATTTTTTCCCCTGCTGTCCTGGAACCCAGGCACAGGGGGCTCAGCAGGTCCCTCGGAGTGCCCTGTGAGGACAGCTGGGCTGTGCCCAGTGCCGCCCAGAAGCCTGGTCCCACAGGAGAGCACGGGCTGCTCAGGAATTTCCCCTGGCATTCCCCACTTGCAAGGATGCTGGGCACACGGCTCCCAGGCTGGAAACCTCCTCACTTTGTTAAACCTCATCTGAAATGGGAGGAAGGAACATCCAGCTGTTGGGAGCAGCGGCTGCTCACCTTTTTGCAGTATTTTGCGGGGGCAAAGTAACCTCATCTTGATCTCAGGTGTACTCAGTGCGTGTCCAGTACCGAGGTGTAATTGTACTCAGTACATTTATATTGCAGTCCCACTGTGACAACAGCCTGAGCCAGCAGCACCGTGCTGGGCACAGCCCAGAAAGCAGCACAGCCTCAGCACCTCCTCGTCTGCTGGGTACCCTCGGGGCATCCCTCTTGTCTCAGCCCCACGTGTGTTGAACCCAGCTGTCCTCACTGCCCAGCACGCTGCTGGCCTCCCTGCAGAGCCCTGCGCTGCCTGGGCATCCCAGGGACCACACAGGAACTCACCCACACTTGCCTTTATTTTTAGAGGCTAGTTTCTCAGCTTCCCTGGGGGTCTTGAAGAGGACTGGCTCACTGGCAGGGCTCTGGCCTTGGATGCTGATGGACTGGACATGCACAATGTACTCAGTGTCCTCCTCTAGGTCCCAGAGGGCACAGGAGCGGGTGGTGGTGTTCACCTCCTGGATGAAGCGCAGCATCCGCACGTCCTTCTTCTGGAAGCCGAGAGAGGAGAGCACAGAGTGGCGGAGAGGCCTCCCCGTGCGCGCTGCTGGTGTCTAAGGCCACTGCTTCCTGCCCTGCCCACCACGGACGTGGAGACGGTCGGACCCTTTCCTCTCTGCAGCTACCACAACACGGAGCACTGCTGCAGAGAGGACGGGGAGGAAGCTCCCTCCCGGACCACGAGGGACAGGACAAGAAAGAATGGGCTTAGACTGCAGCAAGAGAATTTGGAAACGGAGGGGACCTGGGGTGAAGATGAGCGTGAGCGAATCTGGGTAACCGTAGGCACTGTACCTGCTGGGAAATTGCAAATCCAATGACAACTTCATCCTCCAGAACATCCCAAGTCACAACGGCGGAGTTGGCTTTCAGGTGTTTGACCGTGACATTGACTGGAGCCGATGGGCTGTCTGCAAGGAGGGAGAGCACAGCCTGTACAGGGGCACTCGCAGCAGGACACCGAGCAAGGGCAAGGAGGGGAGTGGGAAAGGGCTGCTCGGGGGCAGAAAAAGGAAATGTAAGGCATAGCCAGGGACTGAGGCATGAGAAATGGAGCTGCAAGTGACCTTCCTGTTGGTGGCTCTGGGTATGGGACCTGGAAATGGCAGATATTCCATGTCTTAATTACCAGTGAGGTCCTAGCGGTCTCTGCTGAGAGTACGAGTTACATTATACCCGTGAAACATCCGCCCCGTGGAAACAATTTAGCGGCACAGCAGACTATTGATTAGCTCACTCGTCTCCCCAGCCACGTTCCGTGTTTTCTCTGGTGTGTCCTATTACAGCCTGACAGTGACAGCTGGGAGGAAATGCAAAATCTGTCTTAGAAGTATGAAAGCTGGATGCTTTGATGAGCACTCTGGGGGTTTGAAAGTCAGTGGTAGTAAACGGGAGTGATTCTTCTGCTTTTTCCTGTTAGTCTGACGGAATTTTTTTATACACATTTTGTGTTTTTATACGTAGCTGCTGGATGCTCCCTCAGATGGCCAGAGGACATTCAGCAGCCGTCCACTACCAGGACAGAACATGCTGCACCAGCCACCGATGGACCAGGGGAATGTGAAAAGGCCAGGCCATGAAAGCAGTAGCCTGAGGCTTGGAATTTGGTGGTTTTTTGAGCACAGCTGGGTTTCCAGCCTCAGGGTCAGCCTGTGCAGCTGCCAGCCCTTGTCCTGAAGCCCTTTGCTTCTCCGGGAGAAGGTTCTGCCTCGTAAGCTTGGCACCGTCCTTCCCATGCTGTGCAGCAGGTTGTGCTCCTGGTCTCTCCTCTGGTTAACCTGAATTCCTAATCGCCAGACTGTGCCCCAAACCGAAGGTGGTAAATGCTACCCAGAGTTAAAAGTAAATGCTAACCAGATCGCAAGGACTCTGAGTACCCCCAAGAGGTCAGCAGGGTGGGAATGGGTCATTTGTTCTGACTTGCATCAAAGAATAATACTTCTGTTGCTTTTTAACCACTGCACAGTGCTGCCCTTCTGGGGCTGGGGCTGAGGCCAGCAGTAAAAGAAGGACGCACGTGTGCACGTCTCCGGTAACACTTGTCGGATTTGCAGTCAGTCCCAGCCGTCTGAATGTGGCCGAAAATATTCTAGCTGCAGTGTCAGTGCCTCCAAACGACTGACTTCACTCCTGGTGAATGCTCCCCTGGGGAACAGAGAAAATACCAGGAGTGCAGAACTCCTCATCTGAAGGCTGGTGCTGTTCTACACCTAGATTCCCTCTTTCCTCCCCAAATGGCAGCGGTGCCAGCCTTCAGGGCTCCCCTTCCTGCCAGACCCACATCTACCAAGCCCGTTAGCAGGACCCTCAGGGATAGGATGTCTGCACGAGCCCTTCAGACCCAAACTGGTTGTGGGGAGTCCTTCAGCAAGCAAAAAAGCTCAGAGGAAGGTGCAGGGTCAGGTTCACAGTGAATTTGAGACCTCGGAAGGCAGAGCAGCAAGCAGGGTGGTCTTCAGGGTTTCAGGGAGGGAAGCGTCCTTCCTTTCTGGAGCACACCACCAAGGTGGTATCAATCCAGAGCATTAGCATCTCAGGGCATGGCCTTCCTGAAATGGGGCAGCAGGGTCCCCACCAGCCTTCAGAGAAGGGCAATATTTCATCGATGTCCTCCGCAGGGCCAAGGAGAAGCTGGGCTGGGAGCTGAGTCCTGGTGGAGGTAGGCTGCCTGCTGTGACCCAGGGAAGGGACGTGGGGCTGCAGCTCCCCACCTTCCCCGTCACCGAGCCCACGTGCTGGCCAGAGGAGGGTTTAATTTTAGTAAGGGGCAGTCAGCAGACGGGAATGCGCACCGGGAAGGTCTGTGAGTCATGCCTGGTGAATTCGCTAGAGCATATGGAGGACATGGAGGAGCTGGGAGACAAAACAGCCCCCAGCCGCAGCCAGGCACTGCACCCGTCCCACAGGGCAGCTGTAGGGTCAGATCCCAGCGTGGTTGTCTCTCCCGGATATTTTTAGGAGAAGCTACCACTGATCCACCCAGGAGGACTTTGAAAAGAGATGGATTGGCCTCACAGGAACAGAGAGCGGAGTATTGGGGAAAAAGCTTCAGGCTGGGAAAGGGGAACAAGCAGTGCACCACCCTCAGTGCCTGGGTCCCCTTTGAGGTTTGTGACCTTGAGGGGGGCACAGCATAAAAAACTCCAGAGTTTCCTGATGACATCAAACACGGGTGAGTTGGGAAGGTGTCACAGAGCTGGAGGAGAGGAGCAAACAACGTCCCTGGGAGCTGGAGGGAGGCTGCAAGGCAGAGGGGATGCACTTGGTGAAGCTACAACCCCGTGCTTGGAGCCCTCAAAGCAGGACTCCAAGTGCAGGCAGGGGAGAAATCAGCCGGCGTGCATGGTCAAGAGCACTCCAGAAAGCCCCCTCCATAGTGCTACCTTTGTAAGACGGTGTAGTTAAAGTCAGAGATAACACAGCAACATCTAGGACAGATCTGAGCACGCCTTTCCTTCACTACTACAGATTAGGAGGAGCTACACATAAATCAGCGGTGTCAAATCAGTACAGAAGTGATATGAAAAGAGAACCAAGCGCAGCGTTTGACAGAAATACAAAGCCGGGAAAATGAGTTCCCTGCTCCCAGAGCTGAGCGAGTAATTTGCGAGCAAAATTTTAATCCGTGAGGATGCTTTTCTCCCTGCTCCCGGGAGATGCATGATGAGATCATGACTTTCTAAAATCTAATCATTGTTCCAAGATATTCCACACCGCTTTTGGCTGCCTGGGCCAGTTGCGGCTCTTTGTAGTGCCAGCCCGGCTGAGCTCAGTAATTTCTGTTTCCCAGCTGGCTGCAGCGGGTCAGCCTCTCCAGCAGGGCCTCGAGGTGCCAAATCCAAACGTCTGGCTCCTTTCGGACTCATCTGCAGCTCCTGGAAACTTTGCTCTGTGCCTGCAGCAGCCACGGGAGCTGCCGGTGCTCTGAGGAGCAGGCACAGAGCGGGATGTCCCCAGGGCCAATTCCTTCCCCGCTGCGGGTGAGATAGCAAGGAACACGCCGTGCATCAAACCTTCCTCCTGCATGATTACTCCGGAGACACTGCTGGCAGCACAGCCCCCGGCTGGTCTGTAAGGAGCCCAGGCTGTGCAGGATTCCTGGCTTAGCAGTTTAGCTTTCCCCCAGCTCGGGGGCTGCAGTGCCTGCTGGAGCAAATCACACCTTGCAGACTGGCGGAGGATCTGTTTGGCCAAATTTGAGCGAGAGCTGTGTGCGTGGATGGAAAGATGCTCTCATTTTCATGCCGGCAAAACTCACAGCCCCCTGTTTAGGGAGGAACCGATCAATTAAGGTAAAGTCATGATGATTTTTAACAGGGAATGGCGACTTCAAAACTGATTATGCTTAAACCATGTTTTGTTTCTTTCTCACCCTCATCAGTCCTGCACCTCCCAGTGCTCCTGCCCACCCTGGGCCTTTTGGCAAGAGAGGGTCAGAGCCGCCTCCACGCAGCGAGCAGGCGTGAGCAGCAAAGATTACTCTTAATCCCCTCTTAATGCTGAGAACTCCTTCTAGCCTCTCATTAAACGCTCTGCTGATTATTAATGGACTTTTATTTAAGAGAGAGGGGAAAAAAAAAAAAAAAGCCACAACGCTTTACAGCTTTGGGCTGATTCCTTCCTGGCTTTTCATTGTCAGCACAGCAGCTGCTGGCACAAGGAGCAGAGAACCACCCACCTGCCCCTTACGGTGACTTCGCCACCGCAGCAGTAGCATGGGCAGGGTGGAGCTGCTTCACCTCCAGCTCCCTTCACCCAAACCATTTGTTGGATGTGCTTTTTTGAATCAGGAGCTTTAAAACTCAGGATGTCGGATCGTGGGAATTAAGTTTTTCATTAAGAGCCATGAAAGGTGTAGAAGAATGTGTGAAAAAGGTGTAGAAGAAGAATTTGCAGCCCCTGCCATGAGCTCCTATGGTGGGGCTGGGGGTGGCAGCCAGCTTACTGCCTTTGGCCATGCCAGCTGCTGGAGGAACCGTCTGCACAGAGGAAAATGAAGACGGTGTTAACGTCACACCCCTGGGGGTCACCTCTGCCTGATGAGTTACGTGCTCAGGCTCTAGGTCTGGTATGAGGGCATCTTCCTGGGTTTATCTCTGCGGCCAAGGAGCCCGGCCTCCCTCTTATCTGCTTCTTCCGAATTCAGTGCCTTGCGCACTCCAGCCTCTTGGAAATGCCTGGAGTTAAAAGCAGATGCTTCCTACATGGGCAAGGCTATGCTGTGGTCATGGCATTTTTCTAATTCACTCAGCACCTCTTCCCCAACAAGCTCCTTTGCTGTAGCAAAGGGATCAGCCTCATCGGAGCCCCTGGGCTGGGGTGCAGCAGTCGGGGCACCTGCAGAGGCTCTGGAGCTGCTCGAGCAGAGCTGCCCAGCCGGACCCAGACCCCGGCCACTCCTGCAGGCTGTGTGCTCCAGCACCACAACCCTTCCCACAGACACAGGCGATGGAAGGATGCAGCCTGCCAGGGGAAGGAGCATCGGTACGGTCCCACGTGCCGCTCCCCGCAAAGCGCCCCCGCCTGCTGGCTGCGTGGGAGGGGGCAAAAGGCTGCCTTTTCTGCCTTCCCGAGACTTTCTCTGCTCTCCCAGCACGGCTCCCTTCAGTGGATGTGATTGCTTGTCAGCTTTATGGGGTATGTAGGAAGGCTGGCGCGCCGTTCAGCTTCCCTGAGTGTTTTAATGAAGAGAGCCTGCAGGGGAGTGGGAGGGCGCAGGGCGCACCGCTGCTCTCCCTCTCTGCGCCCGCTCGCGTGGAAGCGGGGCTGTTTGCCGAGCCCTGCCGGTTCCAAAGACCAGAAAAGAACAACCGGTGGCTCTTCAGGCTGGGAAAGAGGCAATTATTTCCTGCTGACCGCCCACTCCTCGTACTAATGGGATATGAATAGGCCAGCCCCCGCTCGCCCCTGAGGCTCTGTCCCCTGATTCCCCGCTGCCCGAGCACGCAGGTGCAAACACTGCTGGAGCCCCCCGGAGAGCACGGTGCTGCCCACTGTGTCCACCCAGCAATTGGGAATTCCTCAGGGTAAGAGCAAGGGGTTAGAGGAGTCAGCGGAGCTGGTCCTCAGCTGGGGTTGGAGCAGCCTCATGCCATCACTGCTCTGGAGAATTCCCCGTGCTGCCAAACCTCCGACTGCGTCCCAAAGCCAGGCAGGATTTGCCCAGGTCTCGCCAATGCCCCGACTTTGGTTTTAACGCTGCCAACCCAGAGCTGAGTCATTGTCGAGGCACGTTTTATCCAGGGCCCGAACGTCCAGGCAGGACTGGGCACCACGGTCTTTTACAGCCCCTCAGCCCGCAGCCGTGCACTGCCAGGGAGGCACAAGAGCGATGTTGGTGGCAGTGATGGTGAGCAGGAGCTGGAGCTCGGTGCCCAGAGCTCTGCGGGGAGCTCGCTGCCTGGTCCCAGCCCAGCTCCGCTCCTGTGCACAACACTTGGGTTTTTACTGCACACACACAGATTTTTGTACTTCAGTGCTTGATCCATTTGTGCCTTTAACTGAATTATGCCTGAGCTAGGCCTTAATTTGGGCTCTGGGTACTTTATAAAACAGGAGGGGGTTAATTAACAATAAATGCCACATGGATGAGGCCACACTCAGCACCAGCACATGGGCACGGCTCCATGAAGGCTGCTTTTGGATCCTGCCAGGGTGCCCGTGCATGGCTAATGTGTGCGAGCTCGTCCCGCTCCGTCTTCCCCATGCACATCCCCAGCAGGAGACAGCGTTTGGAGGAGGGTAGCGCAACCTCGGCTGCTTCGCACAGCAGAGTCCCTGCTGGGAGGCTGACACCGAGGTTAGAAACCTCCATATTTCAATTAAACCTCTCCTACGCTGAACGCAGAAATCAATAAAGTGCTTACGCCATCCCTCAGCTGGCCAGGAATCTCCGTGGCCGTGGTGAGACGGGAAGGGGCAGGCGTGGGCTGCTCGGACATCTGCAAACTGCTGCCAGAGCCGTCCCCGCCTGCTCGTGCGTGCCGCGCGCTGCTCCCGCTGTGATCACGCACGTGAGGCTGCCAGACCGTGGTCACCTCGGCTCCCCGGCTGCAGGAGGAGGGCAGCGAGTCCTGTGGGGACCAGCAGCCCTGTACTGGTTATGCTGGTGGGGAGGATGGGGGGGTGGAGACCCGGCCTCTGCAGAGGGAGCCTCATCTGCAGGGCGGCTCGAGGCGCGCAGGAGAGGCAGGAGAGCTTGGAGCTGCTTCGGGGCAGTGCCCAGAACCCAGCCTGATGCCTTTGGGCCCCTTTTGGAGAGCGGAGGGGGGCGAGGTGATACCGGACTGCTTGACCTGGAGGCTGAAGGGAGGCAGGGCCCAGTGTGTGCAGGGTCTGAGCTCTGCCTCTCGCCAGCCCTCACTGTGGCTTGGCAGGGGAATTGGTGCCGTTCCCCCTGGGCCTTTCCTGGGGACAGCAGCTTTAACTCCCCAGCACGCATTATTTTCAGCCTGCTTACAGGAGCTCTGGGTGCAAAGGGGAGCACAGCTGAGGCTTTACCTTGCCACCCCCCCCCAGCCCCTGCTTCCTCTCCAGGAGCTTTCCCGATGGCTTTTGGCTTGCTCGCCTCAGCGGCCTCGTGGCCACGTGGCTGGCAGTGCCGAGGACGCAGTGCTGGTGGTGATGCTGCCACCACCTCTGTGTGACCTTGGGACAATCGCGCCCGTGCCCACCTTCTTTTTGTCTTGTCCCCCCCCTGGAAACCCGGAGCAGCACCAGCCCCCAGCCCAACGCCTCCACCGGCCCCTGCAGAGCCGACAGCACGAGCTGGGATGCAGCAGGGGCGCAGGGCACGGCACCAAGGTCACGCAGCTTCGTCCGAGCCGAGAAGCACTGGGGCTCCTGCGGCCCCACCGCATGCTGCAGGCGCACACCGGGACCACGCTGCGTGCTCACGGGGCTGCCGGCCCCTGGAAGCAGACGGGCTCCCCACAGCCCGTGAACGCTGCCTGCAAGACAAGCAGCGGGCGGTGATGGGCAGGGACACAGCTCCATGTTTACTCTCAGTCACCGGCTGAGGTGATTCGAGGATAAGGAAGAGCAGGGGAAGTGTCCTAGTTTACAGGAAACCAGGAAGGCTGTTGCAATTCCAGAGGTGTTGTTTTCCCCGTTGCTCCCTCCTTTTAGGGATGTTTCATGAATCCCCCCGGGTCTGCCCCTCATCAAACGGCCTCTCCAGCGTGCCGATGTCCAGCCAAGGATGCGTGCATCGAACCCAAAGGTTTTTGGGGGTTCCTGCAGCCCCAGCACAGGCAGGACAAGGGTGAGCGTAACTCCCACAACTACTGGGGCTGGCTGGGGGCAGGAATTTCCACTCCCTGGAGCTGCACATCGCCAACAGTCACCCACAGCCTCCTGGCATGCGAGATATTCTGGCAATCAGCGTTTTGCAAATCGAAGCAGCTGTTCCACCAGCATCCTGCAGCCACACCGCCTGTGCTCGGGAGGGAGAGGGCCCTGTCTGTGCGCACAGAGCCGGGAGGGTGCCTGGCAGGGGCTGGGGCTGGGGCTGGGGCTGCGAGGCGAGTGAGGGCTCCAGTGGAGCACCAACAGCGCTGCCGAGATGTGGCACCCACACAGGGCACTTGGGCAAGGGCTCAGTCCTGGCCAGAGCAGGGAGCTGAGCACCTCCTGGTTGTGTCAGGGTTAGGACGAGCTCCTGGGGACATTCGTCTTCCCAAAAGATGCCCCTTAGAGGACCCAGCCAGCTGGCAGGGGCCTGGTTTCGTGTCACCAGGATGTGCCATGTCCCATGGCGAGGGGTCCCATGGGGCTGCCCAGGAGGGATTGCTGGGGCCGCCAACCCACGCGTGGGCAGCGCACGGCTGCCTTCGCCTCCTCTGCTCCAGCTCAGCCCCTTGGTGTGAGCCACAGGGGTAGGAGCAGGGACAGGGGCTGGGGGCTCCTGCTGCTCCCCCCGCACTGCCGTTTTCACACCCTGTGCCCCCGAGCCTCCCTCCGGAGAGCCGGGACACCGGAGGCAACCGCGGGACGGGGGCTCCCTGCCCTCCTCGTCCCCTCCACCGGTGCCCACCAACTCCTTCCCGGGGCTCCCCGGTGCTCCCCAGCCCCCTGCCCGCCCCCGGCGCGCCCCGGAGCTCTCCGGGCCCGTCCTCCCCGTTCCTCCCGGAGCTTTCCCCTTCGGCTCCCCCCGGGCCCGGCGGCCCCCTACCTGCCTCCACCGGGCGCAGACCGGCGTAGCTGAAGCAGAGCAGGAGCGCGGCGCCGGTGCAGCCCAGGAAGGGCTCCATCCCCCGCGCCCGCCGGGCCGAGCCGCTCCGTGCCGAGCCGCTCCGGGCCGGGCCGGCGGCGCGTCCTGCGGGCGCGGCGGCGCCGTTCAGCACCGCGGAGAGCTCCGAGGCCCGGTGCCGCCGGGGCCGCCCGGTTCGGCCGGGGGGGTGGGCTCTGAGCCCCTCGGTAGAGCGGCGCGGCTCGGCTCGGCTCGGCTCGGCCGGGAGGAGGGGGCGGGCGCGGCCCCACCGAGCCCCGGCTCCGCCCGCTGCAGCGCCGGGCAGCCCCGCTCCGGTCCCTCCCCCGGCCCGGCCCCGCCGCCTGCCTCAGTTTCCCCAGTCCGGGGGGTTACGGGGGGGGCTCGGCCACCGGGAGGAGCAGATTTCCCCCCCCAAGCAGGCGAGCCCCCCGGCCAGGTGCGCGGCACCGGTGCCATTTCGCTGCCTGGGTTTCGCGCAGCCTCCGCGAGTCAGCGGGCTGGAAATGCAGCGGTAACGAGCCTTGGATGAGCTGCTCGAATTAGCCGTGCCGTGAGGTTAATTAAGCCGGCAGCGCTCTGATTTATGCTAACTAGCTGCAGGGAGCCCCAGCGCTCCCAGCCCAGCCGCCGGCTGCCACTCCACTGGGTGGGGGCCCTGCCCTGGCTGCCTCTGCTGAGCCCCCCCCGGGCACCCTGCACTTGGAGAGGGACACGGGGGGACCCGCTGGTGGCCTGGCAGTTGGACTCCAGTGGCACAGCAGGACCTGGTGCCAGGCACCGTGGTGGCCTGGGGTGGCCCTGCCGGCTGCAGGGTGCCACCAGGAAGGGGCCTTGGCCCCAGCAGGCACGGACACATCAGGCTGGAGCACCCAGCCACAACTGGTGGTGGTGGCAGCGGGCTCCAGGCTGTGCATCCAGGCAGCATCACTCAGCTGTGGGTCTTTATCCTGTGCTGCTTGCACAGCGTGGCTGGGGGGCTCCCAGGAGTGTCCGTGTGCTCCTGGCGGTCACACCGAGCCTGGTGCCCGTGGGGCTGGGTTTTACAGACCGGCGCTTTCTCTGCACTGTGATGGGGGTCAGTACTGGCTGCTGCTGCTCTTTCCTCTCCTGCATCCTCTCGGTGTGGTGCTGGGGACCCTCCGGCCATGCCAGCACTGGGCACATGGATCACATTCATGCTCGTGGGGCTGTGCGAGATGGGGGCTCTGTGCTGCTGGGGGCCGTCTCCTCGCAAAGCAGGAGATCCACAGAGCTCCCGGCATCTCCCCGTGAATGCAAGCCCTTTGCTGGATGGAGTGACACCAAGGGACCCAAAAAGCCTCCGAGGGGGCCAGGAGGTGACCCTGCCCTCCCGTGTCCCAGCGCCGTGTCACTGTCCCAGCTCAGCGCCGTTCCCCCCTGCAGCCGAGCCCAGCTCCGCCGCAGCAGCTTCCCGCGGAAACGCCTCAGTGCCTCCCTTTCATCTCCGGGCTGGCAGCAGATTAAAAATTCATCGCTTCAGAGGCAGAGAAGGTGCAAGGGAGGAGAGGGAGCGCGGGGCTGGTGGGGCTGAGCTCGGCGCCCACTCCAAGCCCAGCCGCACGTGGCCGGGCGGTGTGAGCTCGGCTGATGGAGCCGGTGCTGGGCTCCAGCCTCCCCTGGGCCTCTCCTCGTGGGGGTGTGAGGTTACACGGGCCGGGCAGGAGCAGGACCACGAGTGCTCAGCTCCGTGGAAGCCGCAGCCGAGCTGTCTCCAGCTGCCTGCTGCGATGGGAAGCCGACGCCGAGGCCGCGGCGTGACGCACCGCCACGCTCCGGCACTTCCCTGCCTCCGCACAGGGAGCCCCAAATCCCCCAGCAGCCACACCATGGAGGGCTTCCTTGTCACACAAAACCTCCCGGTGGGGGTGAGGCAGCCGGGGCCACATCTGGAGGTGAAGCAGCGTGACACTGGCGCGGGGAGGCAGGGGAAGGTTTGGCCTCGTGGCCTCACCGGGATATTTCTCTCCCTGGGCATTGCGGTGCCGCAGGAACCGGGCTCTCCCTGAGCTCAGCCCAGTTTCATCTCCAAGCTCTGAACTCAAATTTGCTGCCTGGAAACACCACCAGTGCCCCCCAGTTTGTCCCAGAGGAAGGGGTCACTGGGGCTGGGCCCCATCCAGAGCCCCCAAATGGTGGCAGGGCCCCGGTTGTGCCCCAGTTGTGTCCCAGTTGTGCCCAGCAGGTGCAGGAGGGCTCTTCCCCATCAGGCCGGTGCCAGCCAGGCTCCCCCAACAGCTTTGGGGTGTGCTCCGGTGTTTTCCCGAATTGAAGGCAATTAAAACCATAATTCCCCATTTTTTTACCCTTTTGCCCTTTGCCCACACAGGAGGAACATTTGCTCCTTCCAGCCCTGCCGTCCCCGGGGGGGCTCCCCAGGAGTGGCCCCCGCACAGCCCGCGCTGCTCCATCCCACCCCTGCCCCTCTCCTCTCCCACCCCCGGGGGGGGCCTTTGGGGTGCCCTGGCCCCAGCACCCCCCAGCAGCCGCTGACCCCCTGGCCCCCGCACATCGGTGTTCAGGTCACGTCGGGGGGATGCACATCGGGGGGGGGGGCTGCACATCGGGGGGGCTACATATGGGGGGCAGAGGGGGTCTGCACACGGGGGGGGGGCAGCAGGGGCTGTGCCGCGGGTCGCTGCTGCCACCTGCTGGCACCGGGCACGGCCACACACGAGGGGGGGGAACCGCAGCCGGCCCCCCCCCCCGACCCTCCTGACCCCCCCCAGGGAGGGGAGCGCCCCTCCGCCCCCCCCCCCAGCTCCCAGACGCGACCCCCGGGGTCCTGCCCAGGGCTCGGAGCTCCCGCGGGGGCGGCAGGGGGTGGGGGGCAGCGGGGTCCCTCCGGCTCCGAGCCTCCGGGAGTGGGGTCACCCCCCCGAATCTGCCCCCCCCGGGGGCTGCCCCGCGGTGCTGCTGCGGGACCGGGACTCCCCGGACACCCCGCGGCACCGGGAGAGGCGCCGCGAGAGGGAGCCCGAGGCACGCGTGGCGGCGGCACTGGTGGCACTGGTGGAACTGGTGGCACGGATGGCACTGCTGGTACAGGTAGCACGGGTGGCACTGGTGGCACTGGTGTTTAACCCCTCTGGCCCCTAGGGAACTGGGGGGAACGGGGCAAATCCAGGTCCGGACGCCTCTTGGTGCGCTCCCCTTGCTCCATGAGCCCTGTCCCCCTGCTGTGTCCCCTGCCCAGGACAGTGGTGTCACCTCTGAAGCCCTACAGTCCCCGTTGGAGACACAGTGGGGACAAGCAGTGACCCCAAACCCATCCCTGGGCGCATCCCAGTGACCTGCAGCGCTGAGCTACAGGTCCCAGCAAGAAGGAATTGGGGCAGAACCGAGCTGGAGTCCCCTGGGGCACGGGGACAAGCTGCTGGGAAAGCCTTGGGGCTGCACTCCTGCAGGCCCTGCCAGGACAGATGGTGTGGAAAACCAGGCACTGAGCACCTGCAGCTCGTGCGTCCTTCCCCTGCACTTGCTGCAGCCAAATCCCGGGGCCACTGCTACGGCCGGGGGCCTGCGTGTGCCCGGACAGCCCCAAAACACGTCCCAGCCCCGTGTCCCAGCGCACCTGAACACGTGTCCCGGTGCCAACACGCATGTGCCCCATGGGGAACGGCTCAATCCTGACCTTGGCTGCCCAGACAAGGTGAGCTGTGTGTGCTTCAGGGCTGCAGCGTGCGGCACCGGGACGTGGGGGCGTGGGACATGGGGATTTGGGGACATGGGGACGTGGGATGGAGCCGTTCCGTTACGAAACGTCCCCGCATCCCCGCAGCACTGTCAAGGTTTAGCAAGCGAGCGGCTCCTGATCCAGATGAGCTTGGGCATCACAAAGGGCTTTGTATTCCAGGAAGCCTATTAGAGATTTAAATTATACAAATGGGCTTTTTACCAAAGATCCTCATTATCTGGGCATTTTCATTTAATCCTCGGCTATTCCTGCAGCCCCTGCCCCGCGCCCCCGCCGCGCTCTGCTTACCTTCACCGCGTCCTCCACAGGCTGTGCAGGGACAAGGACAAGCTCCAGGGACAGTGTGAACCCATGGGAAGGGGTCTGCGGGGCTTTGGGGAGCCCCTGGTGGGGTTTGCTGATGCAGCCTGAGCCCCTCTCATTCCCCCTCTCGAGAAGGACGAGGAGGAGGAGGAGGAGGAGGAAGGGGCATCCCCTCAGCAGCACCCCACGTCTCTCCCCACTAAGTGAGCACGGAGGTGGGGAATGGGGCTGCGCACCAAGTGGGAGGCTGGGGATGGAGGCATGGGGATGGAGAGGAGGGGATTGGGGCTGCTTTGCCCCCCCCCAGCCTGGGGACCCTATAAATCCCTGGGGGGTTGGTGGCACAGCAGGGTCCTGCCCGCGCCCCGCATTATCCTCTCCCTCCTGCAATCCATTCCAGCGCGGGGGATTAGGTGGTTTTAGGGCCGGGTTTGAGTCAGAAATGGGATGCTTTCAAATCATCCTGCGTCAGTTGTGCCCTCTGTCACTCATGCAGAGGGGGATTAAAATAGATATGAAGATTATCGGAGGGGAAGAGGCACCCCCACCTGTGGGGGGCCCAGCTCCCCCCCCACCTCCCCACCAGGCACCACTTTTCCCTGCTTCCTCACCTTTCTGCTCACACCAAGGCCCCATTTCCAGCCCCTTTCTCTTAGCCCTTTCCAGTCTCCTTTCCTACAGCACAGGGGAGAGGCACAGCCACTGTCCCGCTGCTCTCCTCACCATTTCCCTCAGTTTCCAGCCCAGACCCATCCCAAAACACCCTTGGGCTCGATGCTGGTCCTGTGCCAGACCTGTGCCCAGCCTGTGCTTTGGACAAGTGCTGCTGATGGGCTTTGAAACCGAAGCAGTCCCCGTCCCCTGTCCTGTGTCGGGTTGGCATTTCTGCCTGGTGATGCCAGGTCTCCCTTGGTGGAACCTGCATCCCCTCGGCCTCACTGAGCGTGGTTTTGGTGTGAATTTGCCCCATCCTGGGTCTCTCCAGCAGTCCTCCCCCCCAGCTCCCTGTTCTGCAGCCACCGCCTGCCCCTGCCCCATTCCCCGCAGAAGGAGCCGGGGCTGTGGGTTTAATCACTTTACGCATGTTTATTTGTATAATTCAGAGGAGAGTGCCTCTTCCTCCCATCTGCCCCTGCCATCTGCTCCCCATGATATTTCCGAACAATCCCGGGCTTTGCAAATCGATCGAGTGGCGCAGGAAGGCAGCGAAACCTGCTGGGGATGTCACCTCCGTATGGGCAGCATCTGGCACCACGGGTGCCTTTTCCCGGTGCGGGGGGCGGCTGCCGGAGGCCGTTTTGCTCCAGCCCCTGTGAGCAGGGAGCACTGAGCTGTCTCTGCCTCTGGGGGCTCATTGGGGACCCCACCCAAAACGTCCCCTTCTCACCCCAAAGGATGTTCCTTAGCCCACCTTGGGCTAGCAAGATTATGAGGGATAAGCCCGTGCCCAGGATCTGAGGATGCCCAACACGGGCTTCCCGTAGCCCCCAGTTCTGCCACCCCCTGGGGCCCTGGGGCTGTGGCTTCCTTCCGAGGGGACAGGATGGGGACAGGCAGAGGTGCTGGCAGGGGGGCACTGGTGGCAGGGAGAGCGGTGCCCCAGGAATGGGCCCTAAATTCGGTGTGTGTGCGTGCACATGCGTGTGTCTGCGTGCCCTTGTGCAGCCCCATCCCGGGCCAGGATCGCACCCCACAGCAGTGATTTTTGTCACAGACACCCCGGCCAGGGGTAGCCCCTCAGGGGGGGCCCGGCACCCCCCAGCCATACTGCACCGTCCCGGGGGTGTCTGCTAAATGTGCCCCCTCCCGGGAGCATCTTCCCTTGGAGGGGGTCCCTGCCCCCTTCAGCGGTGCCCAGTTTTGGGAGGAGCCCCCGGTAATTCCCCTGCCCCGGGGGCATCTTCCCTGGGGGTGCCCCCCCTCGGGAGCCCCCGGCTGCTGTGCCCTGATGTGGGGAGGGGGCTCTGGCTCCAAGTGGAGACCCGCGGCCCCCGACCCTCCCCGGGGCTCTGGACACAGCCGGAGGCATCAAATATTAACGGGGGAGGCGGAGGTGCCAAAAATATTCAAAAATACCCCCCCCCCCCCCCCCGACGGGGGAGCTGGCCCAGATCTGGACCCAGAGCCTCAGCCAGGGCTGAGTCCGGCCCCTTCCCCTCCCCCCCGGTGCCACAACATGGCCCAATCTATTATGCAAATGACCCCGGAGGGTTTATTACGCAAATGCCGGGGGGTGGCTCCCCCGGGGCTGGCCCCGGCGGCTCAGAGGGGCCGGCGGTGATGGAGGGGGGCGCATCGGCCACCGCCTCCAGCCGGGTGCCCAGGGGCTGCCAGGGAGCGCTGCCCCGTCCCTCTCCCCTCCTGTAGGGCGCAGGGAGCGCAGCCGGGCCGGGAGCCCCCCCAGCACCATGGGGAAGCAGAACAGCAAGCTGTGCCCGGAGATGCTCCAGGACCTGCGGGAAAAGACCAAGTTCACCGACCTGGAGCTGCAGGGCTGGTACAAGGGCTTCCTGAAGGACTGTCCCTCGGGCATGCTCAACATGGAGGAGTTCAAGAAGATCTACGCCAACTTCTTCCCCCACGGCGACCCCTCCAAGTTCGCCGAGCACGTCTTCCGCACCTTCGACACCAACGGCGACGGCACCATCGATTTCCGAGAGTTCATCATCGCCCTGAGCATCACCTCCCGCGGCAACCTGGAGCAGAAGCTCCTGTGGGCCTTCAACATGTACGACCTGGATGGCAACGGCTACATCAGCCGGGAGGAGATGCTGGAGATCGTGCAGGTACGCACGGCCCCGGGGTGCGGGCATTTTGGGGGCAGGCGCCCCGTGTTGGTCCCTGTGCGGGGCTGGGTGAGCCCTGTGGCTGCAGGAAGGAGCAGCCCCCCAGGGCAGACCCTGCTCCTTCATGTCCTGGGGCCAAGGTTTCCCCTGGGCACCCTATCCCGGGGCTTTTCCCGCTGCCCATGCATGTGGCAGCCACCCCGAGGACCTGGTGCAGGCACCCAGGAGCTGCTCCCCTTGCCCAGACCCCAGCCCAGCAGCAGCATCAGGGGGTGACTCGTGAGGCTGTTTCATCAACATCTTGGTGGGCATCTCCCAGCGAGAGCAGCTCCCAGCTGCCTCCTGCAATCCAGCTCGTTCCCCCGGGACAGACACAAGCTGTGCTGGGAGAAAAATCACCCCCAAGTCTGGGTACATGGGCAGGGACTGGTCCCAGTACGGGGAACCCCAAGCCCTCTGCCCCCCGCCTCGGGTTGGTGGCAGGCGCCCACCCCTCTCCCTGCCTCCCTCTCCCAGGCCATCGACAAAATGGTCTCTGTGATGAACGTGCCCGAAGATGAATCGACTCCGGAGAAAAGAACGGAAAAAATCTTCCGACAGATGGATACTGATAACGACGGTAAATGAGAGGAGATGGAGGGGATTAAGGGAAAGGTCTCATGGCTAAATCCGGGGGTCTTAGAGGGAGCCGCATGCACACTGATTAAATGCCTCGCGTCCGCTGGGGTGGCCGGGGGGAGCCCCAGCAGCCGAGGGGAGGATGGGGGGGGGTCCCTGTTGTGTGTTGGTCCTGTGTGCCCCTGTGTGTCCGGGATGGGGTGGTGGCCGCCGCGCTGAGCCATGTCCCCCCTGCAGGCAAGCTGTCGCTGGAGGAGTTCATCATAGGTGCCAAGAGCGACCCATCCATCGTGCACCTGCTGCAGTGCGACCCCCGCGGCACCGGGCAGCTCTGAGCCCCTCCCCAGCCCCCCGCAGCCCCCTGCCACCCCCCTCCTGCAGCCGGACACCATCGCCCAGCACGGCACCAGCATGCACACACTGCACACCTCGGGGCCGGGCCAGCCCCTTCCCCATGGCTGGAGCACAGGTGGGGGCCGTGGGGAGGGGGGGGCGCTTCTGGTCTTTTAATACCTGCAAAATAAAGTTTGTGTCAGTGCAGTCAGCAGTGGGGTGGGGGTCGTCAGTGCTGAGGGGAAAGGGTTCCCTGCAGGGTTCGGATCCAGCCCAGTCGCCTCCTTGCTGCAGCCCAATGCCACAGGGATGGGCTCGTGTCTCAGCCAGCAATGAGCAGCATCCAAGGTCCTGTGTCTGCTCCAGAGCTGGGAAACGCAGTGGGGTGGGTGCTGGGATGGGGCTGGGACCCATCCCCTGCTCACAGCTGGGCGGTTTCCACGCTGTCCAGGCTCAGCAAGCCCAGGCAGAGCCCGGGGTCAGGGCTGTCCACAGGGGCTGTCTGCAAGGAGACCTGCAAGCCAGAGGGGCTGCTCAGGGCAGGACCAGGGACGGAGAGCTTCAGGTGGGCAAATCCTGCCCGCCCTGGGGCCCTGAGCCCAGCCGGCTCCATCCCAGCCCTGCACGGGGGCTTAGAGGGGATTCACCTTCTGCCGGCGCACCCTGTGGCAGCAGCAGCTGAGGTGGAGGAGCTCGACGGCGAGCAGGAGGCAGCGGATGCTGAAGACGACCCCCAGCGAGCCCAGCATGAGGGAGATGAACCAGAGGGACAGCGTGGAGCTCTGCGGGGACGAGGGCCATCAGATCCCCGTGTGTGCCCCCACCTGCAGGGCGGGCACGGTGCGGGGTGGCCACGGGCCCAGCGGGACTCACGTAGACGCGGGTGGGATCGAAGGGGCACTGCCGGGCAAGCGGGGCGAGGGCAGCGTCGGTGAGGGCGCAGGGTGCCAGCAGCACCCGGCCCCGGCTGCCCAGCGTCAGCCCGATGGCGACCGCCAGCCCTGGCAGGCAGGACAGCGAGCCCAGGCTGCTGCTGGCACTCAGGGCCAAAACCGCCCATTTCTGCGGGAGGGGAGAGACGAGGGAGAGCGGCGAGATGGGGCCATGCACGGCCACCCGCCTGGGGTGGTCCCCAAGCGAGGGGCTGTGGGATGGAGCCTTGTAGGGGCTGCAGGGTCAGGGCTGCTTACGAGGGCTGCAGGGGCGAAGTAACGGGACAGCATGAGGGCAGATAAGCCACAGGAGATCGTCTGCAAGGAAGCATGGAGAGGTCATCGACAGCAGGGACGTTGACATTGTCCCTGAAAGCTCAGCCCCCTCCACCCAGTGACCAGTCCCTGTGCGTTTAATCCCCCTGTTTCTGTGTGGGGAAGGCCTCTTAGAGCCGGGAAGGGGGGACGGAGCAGTGTCCGCCCTGCATCCATGTTATATCCATCCTGCACCCATGTTACATCCATCCTGCACCCACCCCCTGCCCCCCCCGGTACCAGCAGGGCAGCGATGGCCGAGGCGGTGTTCGAGACGGCGTACTGCAGGGACACGGCGTCCCGCAGGCTGACCACGAAGCACAGCACGATGCCGTGGACGAGGGCTCCCGTGATGAAGTTGAGGTGCCCGATGATGAGGAGGATGAGGCCCGTTTTCATGAGGACCCTCTGGTGGCTGCCGGGATCGTGGTGGCCTGGGGAGGAGGAGAGGGGAGGCTGAGCACTGAGGCTGCACGGCACAGGGTGACCAGCACAGGGCATCTGGGGACAGCCCCAGAGGAGGTGACACGGCAGTGGGGACGAGGAGGTGGCAGGGTGGCAGCTGCTGGCAGCCCAGGCATGCAAACCACTGCCCCAGCCGGCTCCCCTGGGGTCAGAGCCATGGTGTAGGGACAGCAGCTGTGGGAACAGGGGTCCCTGATGGGGACCAGCCGCTTGTCCCAGCACATCCCGGGAAGGAGTGGAGCTCCTCGGAGCAATGCAGCCCCCACGGATGGCTGCCCCAGAGCTGGGCACGGGCACTGAGCACTCTAACAAATAGATGCAGCAGTAGGGGAGTGTTTCCCCATCAAGACTGGGGCTCATGTCGGAGCCGTGCAGGGCTGCCCTCCCTCCGTGCCTCAGTTTCCCCTGCAGGAGGCAGGGCTGGAGCCGCAGGCAGAGCTCAGACACCTCCTGTAACGATTACCACACCAGACCCGGACTCACCCACTTGGCACATCTTCAGCTGGCCGCGATCAGGCCATCAGAGCCCCTCAGCACCCCCAGGACCTGTCCTGCGCTCAGCCCCTGCACCGGTGGCTAAATCCATCGGGGTCCCCCTGCACCGGGGCAGGCCCAGAGCTGCGATGAGGCCCCAGAGCCGCTCTCCTGCTGCACCCCGCTGCGGCTCCACTTCTTGTCAGACCAGCTCCGGGATGAGCAGAGCAATAACTCCACCTTCGCCTGCCTACACACAGGGGAGGCACGGCCCCATCCCCACCCCTGCGCTCCCCTTGGCGCCTCACACGGCGCTGGGCTGCACCCTGCGGGCCTCTACACCACACCTCGGAGCCCGGTACCCCACAGGGAGACCCCTCCAGCCACATCCTGCCCAGTAAAGCACCAATTCCGCCTCAAATTGCCATAAGGAAATGTCCAGGGGCCTGCACAGCACCACAAGGCCCTTCCTTGCCATGCTCGCTGCACAGCTCATGGCAGACAGGAGGCACCAGTGCTTTAATTACAGGCCCCGGGAGCTGCTCTGGGGACAGGCCGGGTGTAGGGCAGCCTCCTGGCCTCTCCCTCATGTCCCGACAGAGCCATGAGGCTGCCTTAGGCCTCCTCAAGCACACGGCTGGCTGGCCCAGTGCTTTGGGCAGAAGAAGGCTGGCACCCCCACTGCCTAGAGGCAGAGGAGGAGATGCACCCCTTTTCCCCAGGCCTGGGGCTAGGGCAGTGTTCAGACAGTCCAAAAGCAACCACGAAGGGGATTTCACCGTAGACCCGTGGAAAGGATGAGCTGGATGCGAGTCGAATGACATCCAGAGTCTTTATTCAAATAGTCCTTTAGGATGGTTGCAGACATACAGACACATACATATTTACACTCTTACACACCTCACAGAGCCTGAACCAATAAATTAAAACAAAAAGAGGGTGGGGGATTGTTGTGTTTTTTTTTTTTTCCTTTTCTTTTTTTTTTGTCACGTAAGAAACGACGACTCCCTGAGGCGAGGCCAGGGAGCCAGCTGAAGAATTGCAAACAGAAGCCAACACGGACACAACCCTGCCCCAAAAGATGCAATGACAGCGAGTGTGCTTTTCAGCAGGAGGCCACTTCATACTCTGGCTTCGATGCACTCCAGTTTGACTATTTCGTCCAGCCTGCACCCCTCGGCTTGGGCACAGTGGCTCAGGTGGGCACTTGGGCTCTCGGCACCTCTAGCTTTGGGGGTCTGCGGGCAGGCGGCTGCAGTCTGAGAGTGGGGGGAGTCGCACTCGTCCGAGGTAATGTCTGGCACGTCGTCCGACTGGCTGTCGGAGCTCTCCAGGTCGCTCCGTATGCTCTCAGGCTGGGCCAGGGTGATGTCCCAGGTTTTGCTGGCAATGCAGTCCTTTTGCTCACAGCTTTGGTGTTTGCACATCTGCTCCTGCTCACCGTCCTCTTCCTCCTCCTCCTCCTCTTCTTCCTCATTCTCTGCCATTTGGGTGTGGACGTGCAGAGAGTCCTCCGTGCTGCTGCCGCTGGCCAGCTGGTAGTGACTGGGCTTGGCTTCGATGTCCACCTGGATCTCCATGTTATTGCACTCCCTGCAGAAGCAAGCACCCCCGCGTTACTGCACAGTCGCTGGTTTTGGCCGCAGCCTGGGTCAGCACCTCGCTGGGCCAGGAGGACCACGCTGCCCAGACAGGAGCAAGATGCTGCTCAAAACCCCACAGCATCTGGGACACAGCAGCACCCGCTGCTCTCCTCGAGTTCCTCCAAACAGCAGCTGACGTCCCCCCAGGCTGAGAGCCAGGAAATGAATCAGGGAAGCACTGGAGACCCTGAGGGCATCAGGAACAGCCCTGAGAGCCCCGGGCTGCAGATCCCCTCCTCAGCCTGCACAACACACAGAGAGCCTGCTCCCAAACACCCCCAGTCCTCCTCCTGCCCGAATAAAAGCTCAATCCTCCTGCCAGCTGCGAGAGCTGGAGCGCCCACAGCCAGCCTGGCACCCGCAGCACCTCGCAGAGCTCGGATTTTTCCAGGACACCCACGACCAACACCCTCCTCACCATCACACGTCCTCCTACCTGTCCTGGGGGTTGTAGGAGCTGATGATGGAACCAGCCATGGCCCGAGTGCTGGCGTTGTCACTGATTGCCCCCAAGCTGACCGAGTCCTTGGGGAAAATCTCTTTCTGGACGTCTGCCTGCACTTCCAGCCTGCAGGGAAAAAAAAAAAAAAAAAAAGAGGATTCCTCAGAAATGCCTCAAAGGGTCCCCGAGTGGCACCAAATAACCCCTGTCATGAGACGGCAAGAGGCCATCTGTGCTGGTCTAGCTTGGCACAAGGGAGTTTAACCCCAAGGGTTCTTCTCAGTCTCATTTTTGGCTCCATTTAGGTAAACCCATTCTGTTTTCCATGACGAAGGTGAAGTTGTGTTTATGCCCATGACTCATGCAATTCCTGCGAAGAACAGATTTCCACAGATCTAGCACAGAGCCATGATTATATGCTGGCTGCCATATCAACACGTGTCTCTAATTACCCTGCAGACTGACTCACAGGCAAGTTTAAGAGGAAAACTGGTGTAACCTTCTGACTTGGAAAGCAGCAGCCCTGCCTGGAACAGCAGGCTCCCAAACCCCGAGGCTGGGATCAGAGCACTGGAGGATCTCTAAGTGGGCCGTGCAGGCATCTCTGTGCTATTCCCAACTAACCCCAAGCGTCAGCTCTGCAGTTTCATGGAGCTCAGAAGGGACAGAAACTTGCTTCTCTAGCTTTTGTCCTCCTTGCAAGAACCAGCCCAACAGCAGCTGCAGAAGTAGCCCGGTCTGCTGGGGCTGGTTATTCCACCACAGACCAAGAAGTAAAGCTACCAGGACACGACTGCCAAGCTCACAGAGGGCCACCCAGCCCCAAACAGAGCCCCAAGCTAAGCCTGCTCAGCCAGCACAGGCCCCGGGAGCCTTCACCCCTTTCTTGCCATGCCCACCACCCCATTTACCTGCTGTACTTGCCCTTGCCTCCCGAGAGGACACCGCCGCTCAGGGTACCCCCCGAGAGGGCAGCGAAGCTGGCTGTCTCGCTGTAGTTGCCCTGCATCACGCTGAGCCCATCCGTGGGGCTCCCGCTGGTGCTGAGCACGCTGGTCAGCCCCTCGATGCTGCTTTCACCGATGCTGGGGTTCTTCAGGGCTCGCCAAGCATCAGCCACTGAGGAGAAGAACAGCACGGGAACCAGTCAGCAAGGGCACCAGCCAGATGTGATGGTGCTGGCAGGGCTGAGGGCTGGACACCAGGCAGCGGGCTTCTTGCCTCAACCAGCTCCGTGCCTCTTCCAGGGCAAGGAAGGCCAAGATTTGGCTCAGAGCTACGCAGCTGATCACCAGCAGGTGACTGAAGCAAGTAACTCCTCCTAGCCAAACTCAAGATGCTCAGGTTTGGGAAACACCAAGCCTGCCACCATTCCATTACAAGAGGCAGTGGCAGGGCCTTTCCTCCTCCCCTTCCCGCTTATCGCAGTACCTGTGATGGGTCCCTCATCTTCATCAAACTCTATCTTCACGCCCTTCCCGTTGGCGGTGCTGACTCCGCAGCCCCCACCGCGGCACAGCGAGATCGGCACCACGCCGTAGACGTAAGCCAGCATGATGGGGACTCCGATACCTGCACGCGAGGATGTGCTGAGTTAAGAGGGGCTTACGGCCGAGCTGGGCTAAGCAGAGAGGCCTCTTTGGGGTAGGGGCTCTCAGTTGTGGTTATTTACCCACTTTTCACCCCATGGCAGATGGACGGTGCCCACTTACCAACACTGACAGCAGCGATGACCGGAGAGGCGATGACAGACAGCGTGACCCCACCGGTAATGGCCAAATTCCTCTTGTGCTTAGACGTTTTCTTTCCCTCATACCTGCTGTGGATCTGAGGGAAGGAGAAGCACCAGGTGAGAGCAGCACCAGGCCATAAACAACAGCCAGAAGACATCCACAAGCTTGTGCTTTTACAGCTGCATTAGCCCCGAGAGAGCCCCATCGCGACCACAGATCTCGCAGATCAGATCTTGCAGGTGGGTCTGCGTTCAAGAAAAAGAAGAAGCTACAAATCCAGCGCTGACACCATTTCCTCCCTCTCAACGCCTCTTTACTGGCGGAAGAGCACAACGTAGCTCAGGGCAGCTGGAGACCCCCAACAGCATCAAAACGCACCATGACCTGTGCCTGTGTGCTGCTCGGAGCCTGTCACTGCCCCACAGAGGCCCCAGCCACAGGAGGTGCCAAAAGGGACCTGGTTTCCCTTCCCAGTTCAGGGTAGAGGCACAACAGCAACGCAACACGCGTTGAGAGAACTTCAGCCCAGAGGGCTATCAGCCCCCGTCCTCCTCTCCCCTCAAAAAGCCCGGAAGATAAGGCAGGGTTCAGAAGAGACAGCTGAATTTTGGTTCTGTGGGGAGACCCGCCCTTCGTATCAGCTCTCAGTTGCTGGTCGGATGCCTCGAGACAGAGACCGCCCCGAGCCACGGATCCCTCAGCTCCAGCCTCGTGCATTTACCTTCCTCCCGACGTACACGGGGATGCCGATGACCATAGCAGGAATGGCGATGCCAGCAATGAGGGAAATGCCTACAGGAGCGCCGATCAGCGTGCCCAGCTGCCAGAGAATCTTCTTTTTACGACTCCATGGCTTTTTGCCCCAGAATGTGCAGCCAGAGGGGCTTTATGGAAGGGAAAAAAAAGATGTTAAAACCTCAGCATCCCTGAGAATCCCTAATTCAACTTCCACGTGAACAAAACCCAAAGCTTAGGAAGTGGGTAGACAACACAAAAAAAGGATCCTGTGTCCCATCAAGATTAATTTGCTCCTTCCTCCAGGTGACTATCACACCACCAGGACTATGTTTGATGTCCACTATGCTAAGAGCTCTCAAATGCAACATATCAGGAGCAGAATTTATTTATTTTTTTTTTGTGAAGAAGTGTAGTGTGGGAAGAAAATTCACATCTTTGGGTCAAAAAAGAGAATTTTGCTGACTGATTGTAGACACAAGGGGACGAACAGCACGCAGCCAAACGCCTCCCAGCCCCCAGAGGAGCCCCGCGCCCTGCTCCGGCCCCCACCTGAGGTAATGCAGGTCCGAGATCTCCTTCATGCAGAGCCAGCAGAACTCGCAGCCGCACACGGCGCAGGTCATATGGTTGCAGCTCCCGTCGTTCATCTTGATGATGTAGGCGCTGCAGCGCGGGCACGGCTTGATGTCGTCCGCTGCGGGGAGGAAGCAGGGCACTGAGTCGGGCTCCGTGCTGCCAGGAGCCAACGGGGGGGCTCTCACTGTGCAGGGGACCCCTCGCTTTCTGTGCTGGCAGATCGCCCTCGTGCACCACCAAGCGGGGATGGTACAACCAGCTGGCTGGGACGTTAGCTTATCATCAGGGTGAGAAGATAATGCTGATGAGACCGAGCCCAACGAAATGATCTGCCTGGACAGCAAGGACTGGGGGCAATACCAGCCCTCAGCAGCAGGCAGTGGGGCAGATGCTGTGCAGCCCCCGCTGGGCTCCTGGCAGGGCAGGATGGGGGTCCTGCATCTCCCCCTCTGGTCACGCAGCATCGGATGGCAGTTACACAACCACTGTCTGCACAGCGGGTCGGGGCTTTGCTGGCAGCCTCTCTGACACTCAGCAAGATGAAATCCAGCTGCTGAGACCGGCCCGCACCTTATTAATCACTGCGCCGAATCCAGCAAGAATGGGGTGGGGAAAAACCGCTGTCTCAGGAATCTCCCTTCCAGTGGCTAAGCGCTAAGCTCTTCCTGGCAGGGATCTCCTTTAGGAGGGTGAAAAAAAGCTCAGGAACCAGTTTTTGCTTGCTGGTTTGTACCACAGGCTGTGGTGGTATCCGAGCTGTGGGTTCTCAGGGCCCTCTAAGCCTCGGGATGCAGCTGAGCCACCTCGAACCGCTCAGGGCAGCTCCAGTGCGAGCACCAACATTTGAACTCCTGGCACACAAGGCACAGTAGTGTTTTGTCTGAGGGGAGGGAGGGACTTTAAGAAATGGCCTTACTGCCCACTTCCAGAGTCAACACGGTTATTTTTAATGAACACTAACTCAGCAGCTCCTACGAGGCAGAGCAGGAGCCTGTGGGCTGGCATTTTTCCCCTGTACGTGACATTACGAGCACCTAACAGTGCACGCAGTCAGGCTCCCCACGCAGGGCTAGGCATTAACGCCGCTTTCTACTACTGCAAGAGGCAAATTTCAAGCTGCACCAGTAAAAAGCACCTCATTTGTTCACCATCTAGATCAGCGAGAAGCAAGAACATCCAAGATCAAAACGGCCACAACGTGGCTGGGGCGGAAGAGGGGAGCTGCAGCGCCGAGGAAGGACCCGAGGCACGTCGTCACCCATCCCCGACCCGTTTCATGTTCTAATTTCTTGCAGGAGCCCACCGGGCTCGCTCTAACCCCGGGAGAAGGGGAAGTGGCTCTGGGGTTCACAGCCGCTCTCACCCACGGCTGCCGGGGACCCTCAGCTGCGGCACGCAGAGCGCTCCCCGCGGGGCACTGCCACCGCCCCGGGGAGGAAGTTCTGCACGACCGGCGGCTCTTTCTCAGCTTCACAGGCACAACCACAGCACCCAGTGAGCTACAACGCACGATCCATACCCGGCCCGGACTCCTGCCCGTAGCTGAGGCCCGACGTGTGCTTGGTCCGTACGCGGAGCGTCTGCGCCCGTTGCTGGCGGGCCATGTCGCAGGTCTGGTTGGGGTGCCATATCTGCTTGCAGTGATAGCAGAACTCCGTCTGGCAGCCGTCCCTCTCGCAGGTCAGCTTGGGGCAGCTGGCGCAGCCGTAGGCAATAACCGCGTAGCTGGGGAAGGAAGACACCCGGCCGGTTAGCAAGAGGCAAAGTTATCGAGCGACTGTCCCATCATCCGGCCAAGTCATTGCACCCAGGGGGCTCTCTCTCGCTGCAATTCTCCAACAGGCTGCTGCTGGAGGATGCCGAGCAGCCCCTGCCTTGCCTGGGGGGCACAGCAGCCCCGCTCCAGGGTCAGCCCATCCCGGGTGGCCAGCTCATCACTGCCAGGTCGGTGTTCCTGGTCGCTGCGCTCCAAATTCCTGCCCTCACCAGTCCTGCGCCTTGCGCTGCAGGGCCTGGAGGTGAGCAGTGCGAATTAGGTTACTGGGGGCAGGCAGCTGGCAATGCTGAGTCCTCTCAAGGAGCGCTGCCTGCTCCTATGGACCAAACATGCCCTGCTCAGCCTGCTCCCAGCACAGGCTCCTGCTCCATACACCCGTGGCTGCACACACACAAATACAAACACACACAAAACACACACACAAAAACCCCAGCTCCTCAGGACAGCCAGGCACATGGCCCAGAGGAGGCCAGGCAAGCTGAAGCCTCACTGGGCACTTCATCACCTAATGATGATTCTAAAAAAATATAATAAAAAAAAGTGGAACAAGCAGGGTTTCAATGTGAAGCTATTTCAAGAAGTAAGCCCTTGTTGATCCCCACAGAATTTCCTTTTTTTTACAGAGGGCAAAGAATAACGCCCTGCTTCTGGAGTAAACCAAAACTGGAGTAAAACCAAGTGAATGTGCAAGAGAGGGAAGTCAGGGTGAGCGACCAGCTCGCTTTTTCTGCCGGTAACGCCGTGTTTCCATGAGGAAGCATGCACACAAAAGCCGAAGCAGCTCCACTACACAGGGACTGGCTTACAGTCAGCGAGGATGGGGCTGCTGCCACCGGAGGGGCTGAACCGAGTAATTCCAGAAGCGCCTTCCAGCTCTGCGACACCAGCACAAATACCAAAGGGTATTTTTGTTGATCATCCTCAGCGTTTTCGTTAGCGGCCAGAGGAGAATGGCTCCCATTTAGGATTTTATATTTAGAGCTCGCGTAGCTCGAGTTGTATTGCCTCTTCTCGGAGGCAGCAGCGTGAGAACCGCTGAATGTGTCATACCACAATGATTCACATCCCGTGGGAGTTTGAGCAGCTTCGTCCTGCCAGGGGACGACACAAGCACCCAAGAAACAACATCTCCGCGTGGAGCACCAGGCTGGGGGGCTCGACGGCAGGGTCCCCACGAGCATCGGTGGCCGTGCACCCGCACGTGGGGCCGGAGAGGGCAGAGAGCAAGGATGCAGGCAGCCAGGGGGCGGCCAACTTGACCAAATCGACTCCTACGCATCTTGTCCGGGGAGAATCCCACTCAGCATCCGGACCCTGCCACCACAAGGCAGCCACAGAGCTACCCCTGGCAAAAAATAAAGCCTGATCAGGCCAGCTGCGTTGGGACACGCTGCTATTTCAAACCATAGCAGCAGGCTGGGAAAGCTCGGCGTAATATATTAAGCAGCCTCGTGCTCTACATTAACCCCTCACTAGAGATTTAGGGTTTTTCTAGACACTCCAGCAGCTCCCCTATGAGACGAGACAATCCTCACCCTTTACATTTCGCTGCGAGAACCGAAATGACAAAACGTCAGGAACAAGCCCGCAGCTGCACGGAGAAAAACAGCCACACGGCTTCCTTCTGCGAGGGAAGGAAATCACCCAGCTCCAACCCCAAGGACAACCAGAAAGGAGCCATTGAAGCGCCGTGCCTGGGGGTGGCCGCTGCAGGATCCGGGCTGCCTCCGTCTCCACCTGACCGCTGACGCGCCGCTTTGCTCAACGGCTGCTTCCTGGCTCGGCCCCGGCAGAGGTGAAAAGGGAAACTCTGACTTTCCCCCACGCAGCAGCAGCAGCAGGGACGGTGAGCGCCTGCCCGAGACCCCAGCGGGCCAAGGGAGGGCAGAGCCCAGCTCCCAGCCCCGGCCTCGGAGGAGCCGGAGCCTCGCCAGTCGCCTCCAGCCTCATTGAGGAGCTCAGCCCACGCAGCCCGCTTGGCTTAAAGCTCCTCTTGTTCTCGCCAGCTTCTAGGGGAGACGCAGCGTGACACACGCCAGAGAGCAACGCCGGCTGATTGTAGCAAGGGGGGAGAAAAAAAAAAAACAACACAAAAAAAACACACACCAAAAAAAAAAAAAAAAACACAAAAAGCTGCAAATATAGAAAATTATCAGGTATTGCGACTGATGGTGCATCAATTGGCCAGCGTTCCCATGGCAACACGCTCCGGTGTGGTGCCGGTCCTCCTCCTCCTCCTCCTCCTCCTCCTCCTCCCGCAGCAGCACAGCCGAGCTGGTTCCCTTGCAGCCCGCAGTAGGTGTGCAAGGCAGAGGATGCTGCGTGCTCACACCACGGCTTCGTCTGCCGCCGCCGCCTCGCAGCTCCCGCACCCGGTGGTGGGCGACATCCCCCCCGAAGCGCCCAGCACCCCAAAACGCCCCCCACCCCACCGCCAGGGGAAAGCCCGCTGTAAATATTTCACGGCCTGACTTTATATAAGCACAGCGAAAGGCACTTGCTGGGAAGGATGAATAGGGAGATTAATTCCTCCTGCCGCCGGAGGGCCGGGTCCAACAGCCTTTGTTCGGTGCTCCCAATGGATGGCACCGGTGGGCAGCGACCGGGGTCACCTCTCGGGAAGATGCCCACGTCCTGTGTTCCCAGCGAGGATGCTCTTGTCCACCAGATGAGCTATGAAGTGCCGTGGGTCTGCGCAGAGCCCCGAAGCCATGGCTGGACGGGGATCTGCTCGGGCTCCTTTTCGAAGAGGCAGCCCCAGCTGCAGATGGGGTGCTTACACCCATCCGCAGCCCACAGCAGCACAGAGCTGAGGTGAGGTGAGCAGGATGGGGTTTTCTCCACCCAGCTGATGGCGCAGACAGCGGGGGCATTCCCTCCAGCACCGCTCTGCGGGCGGCACAGCCGGCACGACGTCCCCAGCGACACCGAAACATCAAGACCTGGCACCTGACCCCGCACCAGAAGCCAGCACCGCTGTCTGCTGTTAGCTCTGAAGAAACGAGCCTTTATGCAGCAATGCTCAGGGGCCCCAAAACGGGTAACCTGAGACAGGTTAACTGGTTTGCACAGGAAGGTTATTACAACACTCTGATTCAATTTTCACAATCCTCCCACCACGCTTTCCACTCTGACTACTGGGTCAGATTTTCCTTTCATGTTCACATTACCCAGAACTGCAAGCTCACGCTGCCTTCCAGCCAAACTTCGCAGCACTTCTCTAAGTTTCCCGAAAAAAGCCCTTTTCCAGGCAGCTTTGCCTTACGCGTAAATAGAAACCTAACAGAGTCCATCCAAAGGAAAAGAGAAGAGAAAATGAAAGCAACGCGCAGACGAGTACAGTCATCGAGCCTGGGTGGACTGACTTCTGGACAGACAGACGTTTCCTCGCTTAGGCAATGGCAATGAGTCAACATCACTCCTCTGTGCCATGCACTCACGGCCCCGCTGGATAGAAGTGACCGTTCACGGTTCCTTCTTCCCCCCCCTGCAAACCGCAGGCTGCCCCGTGCAAGGAGCGCTGCAGCTCGCGGCGATCCACGCGGCTGGGAAACTCCAGGCTTCCCATTTGGGCCGAAAAAAGCCTTCTTTTAAATCAGGGAAACGATGGCTCAGCTAAAACCCCCTCCAAGTCCCATTCACAAGGGCCGTGTCTGTCTGGATTTCCACGCTCCCCAAGGTCAAATCCCGGGATTTTATTGCGGATGGATGGATGGATGGAGCATTGTTTTGGTACCTGCTGACTCTCCCGAGCAGGTTGCTGACCTGGCCAGTGAAGCAAGCCTGCAATTAGGGATTTTCACTGAACTCCATGTGAACAGAAGCAGGCGTTAGTGGCAGCACAGCACCAGGGGGGAGCTGCCCCTCCCTGGGCAGGGTGGGGACAGCAGCACCACGGCAGGTCCCACCTCCCCAGGCAGTCCTAGAGTCCCCTATAGGGACACAGGGACCCCCCTTCTTCGAGCTGTCCCAGCAGAGAGGGGACATAACCCAGTAGTGACAGCAGACCCCTCCCAGGCCACCCCACAAGTAAGGGGACAGACAGACCCCTATGAGGACAGGCAGCCCCCTGTGGGAACAGGGACACCATTGCCCCCTGAACACCCCATCAGCCCCCTGTGGGGTCAGGGCACACCCCTGATGCCCCAGCACATAGGGGGGCAAACCCTTGTGGGGTCTGGGACCCTACTGGACACCCCAGCACAGAGAAGTGCAGCCCCTTGCGGGGTCAGGATCCCCCCAGACACCCCAGCAGCCCACTTTGGGGTCAAGGACACCTCTCCCAGACCCTCCAGGAGCCCTGTACTGGGTCAGGACCCCCCTCCAGTCCCCCTGTATGGGGTCAGGACCCCCCTCCAGACTCTTTATCATCCCCATACGGGGTCAGGACCCCCCTCCAGACCCCTTACCATCCCCATACGGGGTCAGGACCCCCCTCCAGTCCCCTTACCATCCCCATACGGGGTCAGGACCCCCCTCCAGACCCCTTATCAGCCTCGTACAGGGTCAGGACCCCCCTCCAGACCCCTCATCAGCCCCGTGCGGGGTCAGGACCCCCCTCCAGTCCCCCAAACAGCCTCGTACAGGGTCAGGACCCCCCTCCAGACCCCTTACCATCCCCATACGGGGTCAGAACCCCCCCCTCCGGGGCCACTCACCCGCAGTCGGGGGCCGGGCACCAGCGGCAGTCGGGGTCGGCGGCGAGGCAGCGGCGCAGCATGAACTCCTCGTACTTGGCGACGAGGTGGGGGGAGTCGCGGAGCAGGCGGCGGATGTCGGCGGGGTTGAGGCGCTCGCTGCACTCGGGGCAGCAGATGTTGACCCGGGACTCGGTGATCTCGATCCGCAGGTACTGCCGCAGGCAGGCCCCGCACGAGCGGTGCGGGCACGACAGCAGCCGCGGCGCGTTCTCCGCCGGCTGCCGCACCAGGCACAGCGGGCACTCCAGCTCCTCCTCGCCGCTCCCCTCCGCGCACACCGCGGGGGGCTCCTCGGGGGGCTGAGGAGGAGGAGGAGGAGGAGGAGGAGGGGGCGGCGGCGGGGGGGGAGGCGGCGGTGGGGCCGGTGGAGCGGCGGGGGGCGGCGGGGGAGGCGGCGGGGCGGCGGCAGGCGGTGGCGGCTCGGCCTTGGCGCGGCGGCGGCTGCCGGCGGCGGAGGCGGCGGCGGCGGAGAAGACGCTCTGGAAGGAGAGGCGGCGGCGGCGGCCGGGCTTCGGGCACTTGGCGGCGGCCGAGTGGATGGAGGAGGAGCGGGGAGACTCGGAGTCGCGCTCGGAGCCCATGGTGGCGGCGGTGGCGGCGGTGGGGCTGTTCCCGGGACGGCGGCGGTGTGCGGGGTCCGGGGGATCCGGGGGCTCCGAGGCTCCGCGGGTGCCGGGGCCGCGTCCCGCCGGGCGCTGCCTCCGCCGCGCTGCAACGACAGCGGCCCCGCGGCCAGTGGGCGCCGCCCCGCCCCGCCCCGAATAACCCCGCCCACATCCCGATAAGCCCCGCCCACATCCCGCATAGCCACGCCCACATTCCGCGTAGCCACGCCCACCTCAAGCATCGCCTCGCCCATCTCTCCCGCAGGCCCCGCCCACCTCCGCATAGCCCCGCCCCTCGCCCCGCCCCTCTCATGTCGCCGCCGCCGCCATTTCGGTTTTGGGCAGCGCATTGTGCCCCAGTTCCCCCTCACTCTGACCCCCAGTTCCCCCCCACAATGCCCCCCAGCAGCTATGGGACCCTGCAGGTGCCCAGCCCGGTGGCCTCAGGGCCCCCTGCAGTGGCCCGGTCGTGCAGTGAGGTGCAGGAGCGCGGTTGGCCCCTCAGAGCCCATTTTTCCCATTGGGGTGCCCCCATCTGCCCCCCCGGTCTCCCCCCAGTGTTTGGAGATTTGCCCCCAGTGGAGCCTCCTGCGAGGGTCTCACTGCCTCTGGGATGGAAGGAAGGAAGGATGGGTGGATGGATGGATGGATGGATGGATGGATGGATGGATGGATGGATGGATGGATGGGTGGGTGGATGGATGGATGGGTGGGTGGGTGGGTGGGTGGATGGATGGATGGATGGATGGATGGATGGATGGATGGATGGATGGATGGATGGATGGGTGGGTGGGTGGGTGGGTGGATGGATGGATGGATGGATGGATGGATGGATGGATGGATGGATGGGTGGGTGGGTGGGTGGGTGGGTGGATGGATGGATGGATGGATGGATGGATGGATGGATGGATGGGTGGGTGGATGGGTGGGTGGGTGGAGGCACAGAGGGGTAAATCACCTGTTTACGAGTCCACAAACAAAGCCTCCTTCCCTCCTCACACCCCCTCAGCTCTCCCGTTACTTTCCCTGTGCTTTTGTCCACGAGTTCTCTGCCTTCCGTACACCCTCACCGAGTGGTTTCACCAGGCTGCCTGCTGTGACCGAGCCCTTCTCCAGCACTTACGTTCCCCAAACGTCCGTCAGCTTCCCCCACCTCTGCTACGCTCATGGCTTTGGCCCAGCTGCAAGCTTTGCCCCGCACTTAGGACTGGCCTTGGAGTGTTAAATTCCTGCCTGGGATCAGCAGCCCTGTTATTAGCAAGCTAATTGAGCAGGAGAGCCAAGCTCGAAGAGAGGCCGTGGTGCTATGGGGGTGTCTGCGGAGCACCTTGCCCTGGAGCTGCCGAGTTACCCGGCTCCATCGCTGCCACACTGCCAGGTCACACCAGCTGCTTGTGCGTGAAGATGCTCCGTGTTTCTGTGACACTTGGGATGTGGAGCCCTGACGTGTGTGAGGTTCCCCTCCCCACCTTGCTGGTGGGAAAGGAAGGCCAGAGACAGAACGGGAAGGTGTTACAGCGGCGTAAATCTAGATGATACTGAAATCACCTACTCCCATCTGAGATAGGCTGGCGATGAGACATCTTTAAATGGCTGTCGCTACCCATCTGTAGCAGAGACTGTCTTGGTTTGATGATTTCACTAGAAAAATCACACCCTTGACTGAAATAGAGAAACCTGGGCAGGACTTGTGTGTGGGACGGGTCTCCCAGACAGCGCTCTGCCAGCTCAGCCCTGCGTCCTTTTGCAGCGCAAGAGCACAGACTGTAACTAATTGTGGGAAGGTTTCATCTCAAAAGCTAATGTCAGACGGGCCTGAATTACCAGTAGTGCAGACACAAACAGACAGAGAGCAAAACCATCTGGAGTCCCTGGGAAAGGCATCAGCTCGCAACGTGCTGACGGGGCAGGAACGGCTCCGCATTCCCTTACAGGAGGAATCGTGACACAAACGGGGCTGGGGGAGGCCAGGGGAGATCTGGGGGGCTCAGGCTGGCTTCGGTGCCATCCTCTGCCTTCCCTGCTCCTGAGCTGGGCAGATCTTCTGCCAGTCCTCACACGGTTGAGGGAATTCAGTGCTTTTAGGGTGCTGGTGGATATAGGCTCCTAACCACCCTGCCCCTGCCGTGGTCCTGCTCGAAAACAAGTTCTCTGTGGTTTGAGGTGTTTCTCCGTGGAGTTTCCATAACCCTGGCCAGGAGCAGAGGCTCCCGCTCAGCGTGTTCGTGACTAAGGAGCAGTTTGAACCTGGTGGTTTGTTTTGATTCAAACCGAAAAAAAACAGGCGGAGTGGGGCTGGGAAGGAGGGCGCGCACGGAAGCAGGCTGCCAGGAAGGAGGAGAGCGGCTGATTGGAAAGGCACCGGGCTGGGAGGGGGATCAGATTAGCCGCTCCCTGGGGCTGCAGGGAAGCTGTCACCAGCCTGACTGCTTGACTGAGGGACGTTTGAAAAGATAAACAAAAAAAAAAAAAAAAAAGAAAAAAAAGGGGGGGGTGAGGGGAGAATTCAAACGCTCCAGTGAACAAATCCCTGCTCTGATAGGCAAATTTGCTCTTGCTTACGCTGGCAGAAAGCTGGAACACTGCTGACTTCCGACCCTGCTGCTTCAATCGGAGCAGGATTTGGCACGGGCGACTTTTAAAGCTGCCTGAAAACGCCGTGGCTCCCAGGAAGGCTTCCAGCAGCAGTGCGGGGAGAGCTTCATCCAGGCACCGGCTGCAGCCAACGCTCACTGCCCGGTGCCGGTCACCGCCTGGACGGGAGCAGGGGGGAGGCTGAGCAGGGCTGGACCTGCTACGAGAGGCATGGGGCTGCTTTCCAGAGAACTGCCTCGCCACCCACAGCCCAAAAACCCCTGCGAAGCAGGGTGAGGGCTCTGCTGCCGGCTTCAGGGAGGAAGAACCCTCGGTGATGTAATGAAAACTCCCCTCTGTCATTCAGAGAGTGAAAGCAGAGGCTGGCTGCCGGGAAGGGATTGTGAAACTCCGCTCTCAGACCGGGAGCATTTGCATGGAGGCAGCTGGGTGCCGTGGACGGGAATGTTGCTGTGGTGCGGCCCGGCAGGCTTTGGTTTTTCACCACCTTTGGTTTGCAGCCGGTGAAATAGAAACGCCGGCTCCTGGTGTGTCCCCGTCGCCTGGCAGCCCCTGTGCTGGTTACCCAGATCTCCCAGGGCTGGTAAATACCTGCCCGCTGCTCCTGTCCTCAGGGCACAGAGGGGTCTGAAGCAGCTGTTTGGAGAGCCAAGGTGCCTGAGACCCCCAGGTTGTTTTAGCACTGATGTGAGAACCCCTCCCTGGAGCCAATTTTTCTCTAGAAGTACGTCGCTCTCCTCAGGTTTTCTCCCTCTTTGCCCAAACAGGCACAGGGAGATTCACAGCTCATGGGCCATGTTTCAGAGCAGATGGAGTTTAGAGGAAATCCAGCTCACGTTGCTGCTCCCTGAAATGGCCACAGTCAAGATGGGATGGGGAAGGAGGGGAATACCCCAGGAGCAGGAACAGAGGAAATCTTTCTTGTTGCTGGATGGGGAGTCTCTGGAGTGACTCAGCTCCAGTCTCTGCGCAGGATGAGACATTCGGCCCTGCTGGGGTGGCACAGCTAGGGCTTTTAATGGGATCTGGGTGCACTGAGGTTCCCCAAGGCCAAACTGTAGGTGACACATCACGGGGAACAGCCCGGGCACCCTGCAGACAAACCTGAGAGGCTGCCATCGTCTCAGCACCGAGATGGAGGTGAGAGGGACAGACAGACCCACGTCACACAAAAATAGCTTTAGACCTCTCAGCGGTGCAGCGGGGACCTCATCCCGGCCCCTGCCCCGAATTGTTTTGGCAGGAGAACAGCACGGGCATCCCTTGTTCCTCCTCCTGGCATCCCAGGTCTCCAGTGTGCAGGGCAGGGGTGGCAGCCTTGGTCCGTGAGGGGTTCAGTGAGGCTTAACCCAGGGCTTTGAGACCTGTGGGGACGGACGCTTTGCATACACGAGGTAGCAGCTGTGTCCTCGAGATCTGAGCCTAGTTGGGGTCATTTTCTGCACAGCCCTGGGGAACCACTGGCTTGTAATGACAATGCACTCTGATCATTTCTCAGATGGAGATGTCATTAACGGACATTTATTTCTGTCCAGGGAGGACACCAGTGGCTGGGGAGGGCTCTCCCCAGAGTGCAGCTCCGCACACGCTTTCTGGATTGATCTAGTTAGTTCATGTTCTGTTTGCCTCTTGTGGCCCCATGGGATGTGCTCACAGAAGGAAAAGATGATTCTGCTCGATTCCCTTTGTCCCTGCTGGACTTAACAAGGACTGACATTCTTTCAAACAAAGAGCAAAAGGCAGGAGACGGGAGCCCTGGGTTCAGAAATTCAGGGCTTTCTCCAGAGGATTGCTCCGGTTTGCTCTGCGGCTGCACCTCCTCTCCCCTCCACCTCCCCATCCCACTCCTCTCCCTCGGAACACCCCCGCACAGAGCACCGCCACGTTCTCCTCCCTGCTGTGGTTTTCCATGGAAGATGCTGTCATGTGAAATCCTGGGAGAGAATCACCACATGGAGTGCTGTGAAAGCATCGTGCGGCTCTGGCCGACCAGGCTTGCAGACGGGGGAGCGGCGTGCTCCCCCTCCTCGAAATCCTGAGTGCTCGTAGGGGTGGAGGGGGGGAGTGGGGAATCATCCTGTGAGCTTGGGAGCCACCTACGCACCCGGCAAGGCTTGTCAGCAGCTGATAAAAGCGGTGGGAGGTGGGGAGATCGTGAGGGGGAAAAGCTTGGAGGCTTGAGAGCCAGTGTAGCCCCCCATCCTGCCCCCCCCGGGCTCAGCTGGGCCACGGGCATGGCCCTGCTCTGGGTGCACTGCCCTGAAAGGAGAGCCCGAGCAAGGGCGCAGAGATAACTCCCGATTACTTCAGCAGTGACGTAAAGGTGGGAGCGTTAAGCAACTGCTTATAATAGTAATCTGACATGCTTTTCACCTCCACAAAAGAAGCGTTTCCTTTTGTAACAAAAGCACAGGCTGTTCTGATTTGTTTGTATACCTGCCGTCCCGCGCACTCACTGTACAGATTTGCGGATGGAAGTGACAATGATCCCTGCTCTCCATTCACTCTT